TCAAAAAGTAGTGCAGCAACAAACAACAACTATTAATATTCCACTCCAGTTAATCCGACACACAATATACATGTATGATTATATACATAGATATAAGAAGATGTTGTATGAGTGCCAATGAGACAACTCTCCATCCAAGTCTCAATTTATAAAAGTATATACATATATGTACCCGGTAAGTTTAAATATTAAATTGATGTTATCATTTTTGCTTGAATAGTAAGGCAATATTTAATTTGATGTATATTTTACAAAATAATATATGCTGGTTTTTTTTTTTTTATTACAGCAAATGTATTCCAAGAGTTTATGGCTGATTATGCAACTACAGGATTTTATCATGGAAGCAACATCTTAGAAGGATAAGTGCAAATGTATGAAGGAAGCCTTGTGTATAAATACATGTAGCAATTACATATGCAGGAGAGAACACTTAAACATTACTAACATGTAGTCATGATATGGGCGTGGTGCATTCTAGAAATCTAAACACCAGGAATTAAATATTGTATATATTTTTTTTCAACTACAAGTACTTTCAGTATATCATACAATTCTAATTCAAATTATTGTGTCAACATGACAGTTACTGTCTAAAAATGGAAAATGCTTGTTTTAAAATGAATTTTTTATAAATATATAAATAACAAGAATTTTTAGCTTATTGTGAAGCCAAACTTTGAGATCTTTTAATGGTATATGCCTGTTGTTTGTCACCATTTATTTTCTTTTTGACTTAACCTTAAGATCAGTGGTAAAATGAAAAACTGAAAACCATATATGAAATAAGAAAGAAATGGTTGTAAATAACAGCAAGACTTTCAATATGGTATATCAAATATATTTCACAGAACTTTCTATTTCAGTTTATTAATACAATGAGGTTTGAGGTATAAATCAATCAGACAGTAACACAACAACAAAAACACCTGAAAAGTCCTCAACAATAGACAGGTGTCGAAACAATATGTCATGATCTGTTTTAATTGACCAGAGTACATGAGTATGTGGCAGGGTGAACTACCTTTTTTCTTCAAAAAACTCATAAGAAGAATTGGCATCTTTTGCAAGTAATACTTGTCCATAATGTGATTGGAATGTCTCAAAACTGATGAACACAAAAAGACTTATACATACATATTAAAAATGAAATATACATCAGTGCATACATCTTCTATAAATAAATCACCTTCCATACATCAAATTAACAAAAATATTGAGACTTGAACACAACCAAAAATGTTCTAGGAGTGAACTATGGTGCCCTGGATATTTGCTTGCCTTCTTGGTTTTATTGAATCTATCTGCTGCATTGAAGATATTGTGAGTTGGAGTTGATGAATAAATATTATTTGTATTGTTTAGGACCAAGAAATTTAAGATACAAAGAGAAAGTAAAATAGAATGGAAGTATGAATTCATCCTCAAGACCAAGAAGAATATTTATATATATCAAAATAGAATGTGTACTAGATAAGCATTTACTTATCTAAAATATGCTGAAATACTGTGAAATTTGTGTAATTGAGACTCAATTCACCTTAATTTCATTTAAAAAAAATAATGTGAAAGCTCGATTCACATTAATTTCACGTGAAAAATTTAACGTGAATTTCACGTGAAAGCTCGATTCACGTTAATTTCATGTGAAAAATTTCACGTGAAATTCACGTAAATTTAACGTGAGTTTCACGTGAAAAATTTCACGTGAGTTTCATGTATAAGCTCGTTTGAGGTGAATCTCACGTGAAAAATTTCATGTGAAATTCACGTGATTTTCACGTGAAATTTACGTGAACAAAATTTGCCTGTGTAACCATTGATTTATGTTGATAGTCCTAAATATAAAGCTTTACTACAAGTAACACAAGAACTTAACATGATCCAAGAAAATGAGGTCAAGGTCAGATAAACCAAACGAGAAATACATGTACACCTTACAATCATTCAATAAACCAAACATAGTTGACCTATTGCTTATTGTTTCTAAGAAAGTCTTAACAAAGAAAACTTCACATTGACCAATGAACCATGAAAATGAGGTCAGATGAACCATGCCAGACAGACATGTACACCTTAAAATCAATTTATGCATTAAATATAGTTGACCTATTGCTTATAGTACCTAAGAAACAAACTTAACCATGAAAACTTTAACACTGACCAATGAACCATGAAAATGAGGTAAAGATCAGATGAAACCTGCCAGACAGACTTGTACACCTTACAATCCTTCCATACAACATATATATAGTTTATCTATTGCTTATAGTTGAAGAAAAACAGACCAAAACACAAAAACTTGAGAAATGAACCGTAAAAATGAGGTCAAGGTCAAATAAAACCTGCGAGACTGACATGTATATCATAAAATATTTCCATACACCAAATATAGTTGACCTATTGCATAAAGTAATAGAAAAAAAGACCAAAACTCAAAAACTTAACTTTGACCACTGAACCATGAAAATGAGGTCAAGGTCAGATGACACTTACCAGTTGGACATTTATATCTTACAATCATTCCATATACCAAATATAGTAGACCTACTGCTTATAGTATCTGATATATGGACTTGACCATGAAAACTTAACCTTGTTCACTGATCCATGAAATGAAGTCGTGGTCAAATGAAAATTGTCTGACGGGCATGAGGACCTTGCAAGGTACGCACATACCAAATATAGTTATCCTATTACTCATTATAAGAAAGAAATTAACATTACAAACTAGAGGCTCTCAAGAGCCTGTGTCGCTCACCTGATTCTACTTTGGTTTTGGAAATCATGTAAAAATAGATTAAAATCATAACAGATACCCTAATAATGAGAGAGGCCAAATTTGGTTTAATATTGGTCCTGTAATTTGATAAAAAATCCTGGTGGCCATCTTGAACAGTAAATCGGCAACAAAGTAGCAACACTTAATCAGCACCTCATAAGAAACATTTATGCCATGTTTTGGTTTCATTCCATTCAGTGCACCTCTAGAAGAAGCATTTGTATGTATTTCCCATAGGGTCTTATGTTAAAGGAAGTCCCCCCATTGGTGGCCATCATGGATGAAGGATCAGCTTCAAAGTAACAAAACTTAGTCAGCACCTCATAAGGAACATTCATGCCATGTTTGGTTTCAATCCATTCAGTATGTGGTTCTCTAAAAGAAGACATTTGTATGTATTGTCCATAGGGTCCTTTGTTAAACATTGTCCCCATCTGGCAGCCATCATGGATGAAGGATCAGCTTCAAAGTAACAACACTTGGTCAGCACCTCAAAAGGAACATGCATGCCATGTTTGGTTTCATTCCATTCAGTGGTTCTCTAAAAGAAGACATTTGTATGTATTGTCCATAGGGTCCTTTGTTAAACATTGTCCCCATCTGGCAGCCATCATGGATGAAGGATCAGCTTCAAAGTAACAACGCTCGGTCAGCACCTCATAAGGAACATTCATACCATGGTTGGTTTCATTCCATTCAGTGGTTCTCTAAAAGAAGACATTTATATGTATTTCTCATAGGGTCCAATGTTAAACTAAGTCCCCCGCTGGCGGCCATCTTGGATTATGGATCGGCTTCAAAGTAACAACACTCGGTCAGCACCTCATAAGAAACATTCATACCATGTTTGGTTTCATTCCATTCAGTGGTTCTCTAAAAGAAGACATTTGTATGTATTTCCCATAGGGTCCTATGTTAAACTAAGTCCCCCGCTGGCGGCCATCTTGGATGATGGATCCGCTACAAAGTAACAACACTTGGTCAGCACCTCATAAGGAACATTCATGCCATGTTTGGTTTCATTCCATTCAGTGGTTCTCTAGAAGAAGTTCAAAATGTAAAAAGTATAGCCGACAACGGATGACAGACGCCAAGTGATGAGAAAAGCTCACTTGGCCCTTCAGGCCAGGTGAGCTAAAAATGTGGACTTTTTTCAAGTAGTCACTGAACCATGAAAATGAGGTCAAGGACAATGGACATATGACAGACAGAAACTTCGTAACATAAGGCATCTATATACAAAGTACGAAGCATCCTAGTCTTCTAGCTTCTAAAATATAAAGCTTTTAAGAAGTTAGCTAACGCCACCGCCGCCAGTTCACTATCCCTATGTTGAGCTTTCTGCAACAAAAGTTGCAGGCTCGACAATAAAACCCCAGAACTCAGAATGGAATATCTAAATTTTATAAAATTCTAAAGGGAGCTTACATCAACAGATATAAACAATTCACCAAAGTTTCATGAGAACTGCTGAAAGCATTTTTTAGTTATTGTCCGAAAACTGGAAAATCACCCTTTTTTTATGTATAAAACCCTGCAACTCGGAGGAGTAAAATCTAAAATTTATAAAAATTCAAAGGGAGCTCATGTCAATAGATATAAACAATTCACCAAAATTTCTTGCAAACTGGTGAAAGCATTCTTGAGTTATTGTCGGAAAACTGGAAAATCCCCCCTTTTTTAATGAATAAAACCCCAAAACTCAGAAACGGTAAATCTGAAATTTATAAAAAATGAAAGGGAGCTCACGTCAATAGATATAAACAATTCACCAGTTTCATGCATATTTGTTTAAGCTTTTTTGAGTTAATGTCCAACATGTTGACGACGGACGGACGGACAGACGGTCAACGGTATACCATAATACGTCCCATAAACGGGCGTATAAAAATCATCTTAATGAACAGTTTAAAAATTTGTGTATTTTTATTTAAATAAAGTTGTTATTGCAAGATTCTTTTAGACAGACAGCAATATTGAATAATACACTTTCTTGCTTTGACAGAGGTCTGAAATATAACACCACCCCCCCTCCCTTGCAGAACATGGCTATGAAACAATAGGTTAAATGAAAATTACCTCCTCTTTCAGGGCTTGGTTATACAAACAAAAGGCAGAATAATCAGAATAAGTAACAACTCCTTCCATGAATGGATATTAACACCAAAATTAATACTTAATCCTTCATCAGAGCATGAGTATAAAAAAGAAGCCAAAATGAATATTAACTCATCCTTTACTGCATAGGTACAAGACAATAGATGAATTTAATATGATGACTCCTTCAGAGTACTGGTATCAAAATCAATAGGCAAAATTAATACAAACAAGACACATTTCATAAAAGATTTATATACATATAACATCAGCATTGTGTGCCTTATACTTCAACTAGTGTACAATTACACACATACACACAAACTTTCACTGATACATAACTTATATTTATCCAGTATACATATATCACACTATGAACACTTCTGTGCCAGCAAAATTTACACATATTAAAAATTTGTTTACAAATTGCAAGATTTTTTACAGGATTGACTTTGGTCTTTTCCACTTTTAATGATAAGTTTCCGAATTAAACAAATACTTGGACTGAAGAATCTGTTTCATTTAGACAGGTGTTCTAATTCATAGTTTGTATCACCATATAATATTAGAATAATATAATATTAACAATATTAAATTTCAACAATTAATGTTTATTCAGTGATGCTTAAGGTCAACTTGCACAATGCTTACTTTGACATGTTTTTGTTTTAACAATAAAATAATTGATCTTGCAACAAATTTATTTCTAAGTTTCCTTCTTTCAAAAGAACATACAGGAATTTCTTATAATGTGCTTTTTATGCAATGGGCCACTTCATCTTGTTTTTCTTAAACTGAGATTTGGAAGAAATAATAAATTCCAATACACCTTATTGCTATTTGTCCGCCATTACTGGACATCACAGAAGTTCCCTTAAATTTTGACGTCATAATAAAAAATGTCTGACGCCACAAAGGAAAAGTGATTGTTGTATGACGTCAATAGCTCAAGTGTCACAAATTCTCGGGTCAAGTGGCGTAGATCCCCAAATAGCGATAAGACCGTTATTGATGCTTTCCATTTCTTGAGAAGAGGAAGCGACTCTTTTATGCAATTCATCTTTTTTTTTTCCATCACAGCAGGTTTTTTTTTTAACAAATATGTAAGTCTAGCTTATTCTAGTATTGGTATATATATCTCTTGATGATAGCCTTTAATATTTAGATTTTGTAGTCAGGTAGTAATAATTAAGCACCTTATATCATAAGAAAGGCAGTTATAAATTAATGTAGTCATCAAATATGTTATACAAATATTATTTTGATGTACAATCATATTTTTCTTTATAAAATGAACACATTTTTTGCTTCCTTTTAAAAATAAACCCTATTTATCTTCATGTCAATTTGTGTAAGATTGCTCAATTGGAGGTAATCAAAGTCTTTTTGAACTTCTACTTTAAGATGCATAGACATGATTTATAACAAACTATCTAAAATTGCACGTTTATAAATTTTGAAATTATACAGAAACTAAGGTTTCAACTCACTCAGGCAAAGTTGGCCTTAGATGGATTTGGCTATTTTTTTAGATCCTTTTCAGTTTATAGCTCTTCAACGTTTTCAGTCCTTATACATCCTTGGCTTTCAAATATTCGGCTTTGAGCGTCTCTGATGAAGATAAATCCAGAAAACCGCTTCAGACACATGAAATTTATAACATGTTGTTTTCATTTTTTTTTTCTAACGTGCATTTTAAATTTTACAAATTACTCTAAGCTTCCATCACTACACCATGCTAAGGAAGACTGACAGTTAAAAATTTTCTTTGATTTACAAAAAAGTGATATGACTGAAATGTCCACCATTTATATATTTAGATATTAAATTATTAATTTCTAATGAAGTGTGTTGACACACATGAAACAACTGATTATCTCGAGTGAAATAAATAAATAACATAAAAAAGAATCCATGAATAATGTAAATGTATAGTGCTGAGCATTGGTAAGAAATGGACATTATTTTATGAATGAATTATACAAATACAAATGCATGTACAGATGAACAAAGGGAACTATTGTTAAAATTATTTATCACACAAGGATCAGGATATAATTATCCTCAGAGCCCACTATTTGTTAATTAAGCGACCACATGTTTTATTAACTGTTGGCTACAACCTTGACAGAAATGTGTCTTTATAAGCCTTAAGAGTTATAGTCCCTAACCTCCTTCTTTTATTCCTTAACTACATGACAACAAGTCTTACAAATATATTGCTTTCTCTATGATATCAAGATAAGAAGATGAACATAACAATTGTATGACATCACAGTTAAGGCCATACAAGACTATTTTTATCAATTATGACAACACTTTGAAGATAATGTATTTATACTACTAAAATTGGGATGATAACATCAATGAAAAACACCTAAATTTCACAAGTAATTTTAAATAAAATATCAAAAATCTTCAAATTGAGATTTTTAATACCAAAAACTAACTTTTGCTTTAAAGTCATAAATTTAATGATATGAATTGGTCTTGCATAATCACAAAATGATGCACCCAGCAGTTGTTCTTAAAATGGCAGATGGTAGCTCCAATTAAAGGCAAAGTCCATTAAAACATGATCCAGTAAGATAATATTTGAACCCAAACTTTTTTTTATTCAAAATTCTTTAATTTGCATAAATTGTCTCCCTTTTGGGAAAGTATTTTGTACATACTGTAAAAATATTAATTTTAGTGGGGTTAACAATTTAGAGTAGTGGTTTTGTCCCTAAATTTGATTTCATAAGGATTAGTTTTCGTGGTTTCTAGTTATTTAGAAGTTATATTCTTTGTAGGTTAAAATTCCCTAGGATTTATACTTAATTTTGTTGTTGTATCTATCCAATGATAGATTTCCTATGAAATAAGACATCTGAAACTTCTACAGCATAAAACATTAATCAAACAAAGGTGAACAATATTTTGATGAAGACTGGAAAAAAAAGAAGGAAAAGTTCTATTCTCCATGTATGTAAATGCATGAGAAAATTGTTAAATATAATAATATGTCAAAATATTGCTGTATTTATACCCACAAGACTGATTGATGGATGACTGCTTTATAAAAATGCCTGCATATAAGGGAAATAACTTTTGAATAAAAAATTACCAAAAAGTAAGACAGGACTGAACAGAACATATTTAGCATATTATCTCTGAAAGTACATTTAAATACCCTTCAGTTCTGTAGTGGCAGTTATTCCAGTTGCATTTTGACATTCAGCATTCAGAAGCATTCTAAAGAATTTATATTTATACCTCTATACTTCATCACACATACACACAACCTAATTCATAAACACACAATTTTGTACACAATTAGTAAAATATAATGTAAGCTATGATCCTATAATTAGTCCTATACCATATCGATATTGAGGTTTTTGAAAGTTAGCTAAACTAGCCATTCCACTTAAAGCAAATGTGAATGGAAACGGTAATAATTTTCTCTCCAGTGTTGCTTCTATTCCCCAATTAGTATCTACACTACCTGTAAATAGAAAACAAATTTAAATAATTTTTTATAAGTTCAAAGGTCTATTCTCATATCATATTTTCGAAATAATGATGTATAAGGCAAAAGTAGACAAGAGCTGTCCCTATCACCCCAGCACATGCATTTTTATTGTTGCCCTACAGCAGATTGAAATCCAGTATCTTGAAGACAATGTCAGTTTGAGAATTTCGGCTTTCAGCATGTTCTTTTGATATATTTTTGATTTTTGATTTTTTGTGTTTTTAACGCCACTTTTAAGCACCGCTTTTGGGCTATTTCGTGGCGGCCAGTTTTTATTGGTGGAGGAAGCCGGAGTAACAGGAGAAAACCACCGACCTTCGATAGGAAAACTGACAATCCTAGTCAATTAAGATTGGAGTCGAGTGCACCTGCACGAGCGGGGTTCGAACTCACAACCTCAGTGTTGACTGGCTTGTGATTACAGTAGTAACTACTTAGACCACTCGGCCACCGAGGCCCCCTCTTTTGATATAATTGTTGCCTCTGTATGAGATTGACACACGGTTACCCATAGATGAATCTTACAGAATTATACTGACTTGAGTCTGAAGTCCGAGGTTTGTATACCACCACTGTCACCTTAAAATTTTGTATTTGACCCTGTTATAGTTAAACCTTGCCTGCTAGGTAAACTGAACAATTCTATGATACCATAGAACTAAGGCTGACCAACTTGGTATGTGGTTGCATTATAATTTGTGTTGATAAAACAATGCTGGAAAGTAATACTTTCTCTTTGCAACACTTCTTACACAAGTTACATCTATAATCAAAGTTAGAGATCATTAACTATTTAAAAGCTGTTTAATTTTTAAATTATTAGACCATGTATATGACTGTATATGAGCTTATGGAATCTGAAGCTGGTATGCCAACTTGCATATACCCTGGCATGCATAATTATTTGACATACCTCTGAATGTTATGGAAGCTTCTGGAACCTCTAGTTGGTAAGCAAGCTTACAAACACTTTCTCCTTGAGCTAGACTAGTCTCTATCTCTGCTCCTACATCTAATTCTTCTGTTACTTTATGATGATAACATAAATGAGCACCACCAACTAAAGGACTAATATTACCAGATAACGTCCATTTATCACCTACAAGATTACAAATTCAAGACCCTTAATTTACTACCTACAAGTAAAATTATTGCAAGCGGATGTTAAAATGACTTAATAGTTCACTCATGGCAAAGATTCAGTTCACTAATTTTGAATGCACATCAATCAGTGAAATCTTTCAGATGACGATCATGTTATTCATTAAAAGCAAAAAACAACATTTTATGTAAACTTTTAAAACTATAAATCAAAGTAACACATTTTCTAACCTCATTTTTTAAAATTTTTAAACTTAACATTCCCATTTCACATGCCTACTAAAACCAGTTCTATTTCCTATATTCTAACTGAAAAGGGTTGAAAGCAGTGTTAGTGATGAGATGGGGTGCATGGGACAGTAAGATACAAATGTATATAAATGTTATTTCACAAATTTACTGAATACAGTAATATTTCCTATATTCCAAATGAAGAGGGTTGAAAGAAGTGTTAGTGATGAGATTGGGTGTATGGGACAGTTAAGATATATGAATGTTATTTAACAATAGATGGGAAGTGATTGTTTCATTTGAACATGTCAAATGGCACATCTTTTCTTTTGCATGAAATATAGGGAATCATTGTTCATCAGAAAAACTGACAAACATTGGTAAATAAAAATTTATTGTACAATGGCACAGAAGATCAGTAATTGTTATTTTGTAGAACATTTTACACAAGGAATCTTAAAATGGGAGTTTGCAGCTCAAACACATTATAAAATTGAAGCAAGTAAAAAATGCCTTTCATACTTGGTGTCATCATATTTTTTTTACATCTTTAAGAATACACTTACGCTATAACTTACCAGTAAGTTTAGAAGCTACAGATAAAGCTGTAAATTCCCCTCCAGGTACTTGAGGACCATACTGACATACTAACTCAGCCCCAATTGATAACCGTGATGTCACTTTTTGTAAGTACTGTGTAACTAAAATACCTGTAAAAGAAATTTTCATTTTTGGTTAAATTTTATTACTGGGTTTGCTGTCTTGAGGGAGGAATTGACAGAATCTAAATTGAACAACCCAACACATTACCTCAATCTTGAAAAATGTACTGATAAACTATCAAATACTTAGGGTATGTACTGACAAAGTAACTCAGGGTTAAGAAAACAACAAACTCCAAATGATAACCAAAACTATCAAATGCTTAGGGTATGTACTGACAAATTAACTCAGGGTTAAGAAAACAACAAACTCCTAATGTTAATCAAAACTATCAAATACTTAGTGTATGTACTGACAAATTAACTCGGGGTTGAGAAAAACAACAAACTCCTAATGATAACCAAAACTATCAAATGCTTAGTGTATGTACTGACAAATTAACTCGGGGTTGAGAAAAACAACAAACTCCTAATGATAACCAAAACTATCATACTACACTTACCTTTAACAGCAATCAAATAATAAATAGTGCCAGTAGTGCATGATATGTCGGTCCACAAATTAGTGGGCATTGTAAGTGAATTTAATACAGGTTATTGAATGTTCAAAAATGTGTTCAAAAATTGTATTAAGATTGTTGAAAATATCCTCGACTTATCCTGAGACATTTGAAAAACAGCCAAGTTTTGGACAATTAAAAGTCCCATAACTCTTGAAAAACTAACCTGAAAAGCATTAAACTCAAAGGGAGCTTACTGTAGTAAGTTTACTTTTTCAAAAATGTTAAATGTGAAAATTAACTTCGTTATAACCAAACATGAAAAATTGAGCAGTTTAATATGCAGCAAGTCCCATTACTCTGGACATTCTGACCTGTTAAACTTTTAGCTATATTTAGACTGCTTACATGCGATACTGACCAAATCTTAATTTCAGAAATTATTGCGTGCGTTTATTATTACGATTTTTGAAGAAAGGACACTAATGCTAGATTTATTATTGCGATTTCAGAAAAATCTGCATACATATATATGCATCAGATATCAGAATGTGAGTTCTTATTATTGCGATACTCATTCAGTCGCATTACACGCATTAATAAAAACCTCAGAATAATTTCTGAATTAACGGTATTAAAGATTTTGCTTACCTACGCTCTATTACAGGCTATTAGTACAGCAGATGTAATAGCTAATATTGATCAAAATTTGCTGTATATTGTTTACAAAATCCATTGAATAGAAATGGCAAATGCAGACAAAAATCTGCTGTACATGATAGCAAACAGAATATTTTAAAGAGGAATCACAAACACAGATTCTATGCTATCTGCCATACCAATAGACGGTCATAGGGATTGTTAACTTAGAATGGAATATGTCCATATTGCCTAATTAGTAAAGTGTATGTTTACCTGACTTATTGACGACGACTAGATTGCCTATAGTGAGTAAAGTGTATGTTTACCTAAATAATTGGCTACGTCCAGATTGCCCACAGTTACTAAAGTGTATGTTTACCTGACTTATTGACTATGTCTAGATTGCCTAAAGTGAGAGATGCTGTATAATCTGAACCTCTGTAGTCTATACCTCCTTGTGTTGCTACGCATTTGTTGTCTTGAATCTGTCAACATAAAAAATAAGCAATACTTTTACCAATCATTATGCATCAAATTTCTACATATCAGAACTAGAAAGCTTCATCATTTAATGATTTTAGGTAATCGTTTATTCCATAACAGTTCACAAGTGAAAATAGTTTTAATTCATTGTAATCAAACAAAAAAAAAGAATTACAAGGCTGAATGCAGTTTTGGAGCAAAGGAGAACACTAATTTTTTATTATTGCAAACTATGAAAAACAATTGTCACCAGATATTATTACATGTACATAATTACATTTTTTATGGATCAACTGTTTACTGATCTGAAAACATTCATTTGATTAAGGCCACTAAGACTTCTTAATTGTATCTCTATATATATAGCTACATTGTACATAACATAAATGTGAAAACATCTTAGATTGAAATCAAATTTGTTCAATAATGCTGATGATTAGTGACTTGAAGTTTATAGTCATAAAGTGTTGAAAAAATTCTACTTTCTATCGAATTTGATAACATCAGAATAATCTCCTAGAAGGTTTGACAATTTAGAAAACTTTTTCTATTTTCCACTAAAATAAATAGTGGAGATACATGTATATGAACTTTTTAATGTTGACTAGTATATAAAAATAAGGAGATATGGTATGATTGCCAATGAGACAACCATCCACCAAAGTTCAAATGAAGTGGATGTAAGCACTGTATGCCTGTAAATAAAAATAAACTGAATATACCTGTGTTACAAGTTTAGTTCTAATATTCTGTGTAAATGCATGAATTATGTTGGCATTGAGATTACCACTGGCATCCATATCACCTAAAACCACTGGAAACATCTTTAAAAGAAGAAATACAAAATAATGCAATGTCAATCATTTCTTTTGTTGGCACATATGCATGATGAGGGGCTTATAAACCGTAACATAAATATTTGGAAACGTATTTAAAGGAAAAATATGTTATTGTTCTTAAATCAATTCAATATTAATAAACTGGAATGGTGAGAAGAAAGGTAAAATACTTGGTACATTTTCTCTAATTTTTGCCTCAAGTATATAAGCTGATATAATTAGTTCATGACATAAAATCCCTAAAATAACATAGCAATTATTCTGTGACCCTTAATCCTTTGTCCAATACGTATCCTTCTGCTATTGGTGATACTTTCAACAAAAATTCAAGCTTTAATTCCCTATTTGAATATGTTATAAAATATTTATGATGCGTATAGTGAAAGTTCAAACCTCTTGTGGTCCTAATTGTTTAGTGCCTACATAGGTAGCACCAAATCTGTACCCAGAAGATGCAGGATTTACTGTACTGAGATTAATGGTATGACTGACTTGAAAATGACTGCTTAATCCTTTTGAAAATATAAACTTTCCTCCCTCGAAGCATTGTGGAAAAATATCTGAAAAATAATATTATATCATACATTAATCACACATCAGTTTTTTCATATGAAATTTATTTTTTTTTATTAAATTTTGGTAATTTCTAAAAAAAAATTATGCGAGCATTTATCAGGGGTTCAAATTTACAGAAAATTATAGGTCCAAGACTATTGGCCCAAAAACCTGGATGGTAATACATTTTTTTACTTTATTTATGTACATTTTTGTACTTACAAATGTGATCAATTTAGAAAATGGTCACCCATCCATAACACTTGTTTGTATCACAGACACTTATTTTTTATTTTGTTATGTGGAAACTTCTTACCCTTCAAAGAACTCGTGCGTATCCTAGTCAAAAGAGAATCATGCACTTACATGTATCTTTTTTAACATATTATTCTTTATTTTTGAAATGAGTTTTTCCTTTACAAATGTATAACTGTAACTGCAATGTGCTGTTTAGGCCCAAAAAAATATATGCTTGTTTCCTGCCTCCCTCCCGACCCTAAAATAAGTGTTGTGAGTCTTATTATTAGACTATGAATCCGATTATTCATTCAAATTTGTAATAATATCAAGTGTAGAACTTGTCGAACCATTGAAAATTATAAACCTATCAACATGAAAGGCATGCACAAATTACTGGATGAATTAAGTGTATAACAGGATCCAACTTAATACCCAAAAAATAAAATAAAATCCTGACCCTATTTAAAGTGGTTGTTTGCCTTATACTTTGTATGTTTTAATTTTGTTCTGTTATATCAGTTCTTCAGCACAAAAGAGTGCATGAACAACAAAATTTGAGAATAAATTAATAAATGAATTTTCTTTATTTTCTTTAATTTCAGAGCAAATTATGGATCTGATTCAAGTTCAACCACTGCTACTAAGTGACATTAAGATATATGTTAAGGATTTTTTTCATGAATTGTACATTATCTTTTTTAAAAACTTTGAACCATCGCACTTCAACATCCCCATCGTACCTCTGAGTCCTACACATATAAACATAAAGAGAAAAATATTGAAATTTGTGCAAATTATGTTATCACAAAAATATTGTTCTAAAAGAGTACAGCCATATTGCTTTTTTTTCATTATTTCAACATAGCTTTACGACATTATTTTTTTATGCTATTTGGAATTTTATTTTACTTGACTAAAAATGAAATTCATTGATTACTGCCTCAATCATCATAATGTTCTTTCCAATTAATATCATTAGGACTATCTCTTAAGTCAGGGCAAGAGATGTTTTGAGTTTATTGTTAAATGTGTGCTTATTAGTTCATTGCTGACAGCCTTCCAGCAACAATGAGCAACAGTTAAAGTGAAGACCAGAAAATAAGAAGTACATTGTATTGTTGTATGTGTCAGTTGATGGCAAACACTTATTTACAGCAGTAAATTTTTAAAATGGGTAAAGAAAATTATAAGGAATAGATATATTATATAGCAAGTCTAGACAGGGAAGCATGGGAGGTCAACCCTTCCACTTTAGCTCAGAAAAAAATTCTTCATTTTAACCATAATTCTTAAACCATGCATAACCATACATTTGTCTTTTCTGAGTGTTAAGTCACTATCCAATTGTGATTCTGGCATTTAAGGGGCTTCCATGATAGACTAGTTTCCAGTTTCTATTTCATGCATGATCTACAAGAAGATTTCCACATTAGAGCCTAGTCATAGGTTTGAAAAGATGACACCTGTGCTCTACAAAAATTTCTTCAAAACTGAAAAATCTCTTATAAAGTGGGTTGTGTCCAAACTGATTAAGTAATGCAAAGATGCCAAGGTCATTTAAAAGGACCAAGAAAACGGAGATCCAGAACAACTAACAATTCAAGGCGATGCCATGAAAAAGTATCGAACCTTTGCATTTTCTGTGGAGTTCTTCAAATGTCCCTGGGTTGTTGTCAGTCTCTGTTTGTTCGGTCGGTTTTGATGTTTCTGTGGATGACTGAGATGATGCCGGTGGTGGATGAAGCGGCGGTGGCGACAATGCCATGCCACCTGTGGTTTCATTTGGACCCGCAGCTGAAATTTTGTTACCCATATCTACAAATGTCTTTGAATGTTAAATAAAATGGTTCATTAAAGTTGCCGTAGAGGTGAATTTTATGTCATTTCTGTGCCGGCAATTTCATGTGTTTGCTGCCATGTGCTCGCATGCGCAATCGTCCCGGAAATATATCAAAATTTGAAACTATATCGGTGAAAGCTTGGTATTTCCGCAATGGCCTTCCTTAGGTTAGCTTGTGGTCCTTTTGGCGTCCGTCGTCTGTCGTAACATTTTTTTTTAAATCATCTCCATCAAAACTACTACACCTATTTAAGATACAAGATATTTCATTGACCTGATTATTGGACCATTTTCTGAAAATGGTTAATAAATCAATGAGGCCCCTCATGGGGGTGTCCAAGTAATCACATAATCACACATTTTTTGCCAATATAATCACATAATCATTAATTATTTTTTTAAACAAGATAATCAAATAATAAAAAATACAGTCCTAGATTATCAAAAAATCAAATATCATGAAATAGTTGGTCTGGTAATCAAATAATCACTAAAAAACAGCCAAGTAATCACATAATCAAAAACCACCATGAGGAGGCTCATCAATCATAACAAAAGAACCAGTTATATTTAATTGCTCTATATGTTCTTAACTTGTTTCCAGTTTCAAAGAGTATCATTGATAAGTTATTGCAGGAACATATATATTAGATATACTGTTCCCAGGTTATTCCTCATTTAAAAATAAACTACTTCCATTTATCAACAACTTATAGGAGTTATTGCCCTTAAACAACAATATTTGAGACATTTTAGCATTTTTCAACTTTTATTTTGAAAAAAAATTATATAGTTTCCGGAGTTGAAAGATTACAATACACCTTATTGCTATTTATTCCTATCCTGATAATTTCTTAAATTACACAACTTTTTCAACCAGTTGAAGCTATCTGGGGCTTTGTTCTTTAACCATCAAAATTTTTAAAAATGTCCACTTCCAAACTTTTCCCTCCATCAGCTCATTGCTGATGACCTTTGTTTTGCCCCACTTGACCTCAACAGGAAGTTGTCATAAGTACCTGTTTTCCCGGATTGGACTAAATAGTGATAAGGTGTATTATTTATTTAATAATCAATTTCTAATTCATGAATTATTTATCAATCACTTATAGTAGTTACTGCCCTTAAATGACAATATTTGACACAATTTAGCAATTTTTATAAAAATAATGAGATGAGGTATGATTGCACATGAGACAACTATCCACCAAAGTTAAAATGAAGTGGATGTAAGCAATTATGGCAACCATACAATCTTTAACAATGAGAAAAACCCATACCGTAAAGTCAGCTATAAAAGGCCCGACATGAAAAATATAAAACAATTCAATTGAGAAAACTAACGGCCTAATTTATAACAAAACAATTTACGAAAAACAAATATGACAGACATGAATTTTAACCATCGACAACCACTGAACTACAGGCTCCTGACTTGGACTAGCACATAAAGAATGTGGCGGGGTTAAACATGTTTGTGATCGCTCAACCCTCCCCTAACCTGGCCAATGACCCTTATAAACTGTAATTGGTGCAAAGCATCTTTCAGTCTAAAATATACATGTGTATCAATATCTAGCAAAGAATTACCTTTATATTCAAATCAACTGGGGACCAAAGTGAAGTGAAAGTTTATTTTTTGAAAAGTGTTGATGCCCTATTTGTAACTTTGAGATGAATATGGAAGTAAAGCCGTTCTTTTGGTTTAGGTTTTGATTAGTGCATATTGGGATTATTAAGTGTCAAGAGTTAATACAATATATTCCTCCTTTTACATTACATTGACAGAATTTCTCTCTAGTGTGTGGAGGCCTCAGAAACTTTCCAATACTTTAGGTGTGGTCTTTGCTGTCATATTTTTAAAGTTGTGGTCTATTTATTTTACAGATAACTTTTCTAATGTATACTACTTGTTTACACTTTCTGTATGTATCAATTGTTACATGTGTGCAGTCCATCAATCATACGTCTAAATGTTTGAATTGTTTCGGCATTTAAGAAATTTGTTTTGGGCTAATTATTGTGGTGTCTCTTATATTTCTTTGCCTGTTATAGTCAGAAATTTGTTGATATTAACCTCTTATCTAATTTCAGTCTTCAATGCACAGTGTAGCTTTATCACAATCTAACAATGATTTCCACGAAAACAGTGATGGGTCTTCTAGATTTTGCATTGAGGTGTCAACGTGTGCAAACTGTTGAAGGCTTAAGCTTCACTGTGACTTTGAGATGAAGAACAGAAATGTGTTGTTCCTAAAGTAATACACAATAGACCTCCTTTCCATTAAATTTGTAATCATTTTTTAGTAGTCTTACAGTTTGAATTCTGATGTCTCATTGGTCACACAGATCATTCCTTTAACACCTAATTGGTGCATCAGCTATTACTCTTGCAACTAAGTTAGGGGTTAACTCAATACTGTACTTAAAATAAGATCAACCAATAATTTGTTAACATTTTGTAAGGAATAGCTCATATTAATAACCATAAAAATTTTAACATCTCCTTGCTGTGGTATTTCATAACTCTTCTTATAGCCCTTTACCAAATTTTTTTTTGGCCTTTTTTGTCATTTAAACAAATAGTATAAATGTCAGTCCTGTTTGATAGCAATTTGGGAGGATGAAACACTATCTGTAAAAGATCTTTAAAAATACGGGGGCTGTAATGTTAAGGCCTCTACCCAAAATTCTGTTTTTTTGGCTCCTATGGCTCTCCATACTTTCAGAGGTCAACTGTATGACATTAATTTCAAATTTGATGCATGTTCCCTCAACCTAAGGCTATTTATTGTCATGTTTCTCAGGTTTAAAGTTCATTTTGGGCTCAAATACGAACTTCGAAAATTGAAATCGTAAGAAACTGGGTATTTTGGAGGGGTTGGCTTCCCTTCGGTGTCTGAAACTAACAGTTCAGAGGCCTAAAACTTCCAAAAAAAGTGTAAACCCGCAGGCATATAACTACTGATCGTGTTTATTATTGAAATATGCTTAGAGAGCAACTGCTTCCGGTTGCAGGTCCAGTTGAAGTCAAAAATCAGGAAAAATCAGGTAATTCCAGATTTTTCGTGCAAATGACCTTCTTTAGACTGCTGTACCCAGATCAGTTTCATTCTGACTTAAGCCCTGTTGTGGTTAATGTGTTCACTGGGATACATCTATCAGCAATGAGCATCCCTGTCTTCCCTGTCAAGAAATAGGACGAACAAGAATGTGTCCATAGTACACAGATGCCCCACTCGCACTATCATTTTCTATGTTCAGTGGACCATGAAATTGGGGTCAAAACTCTTAATTTGGCATTAAAATTAGAAAGATCATATCAAAGGGAACATGTGTACTAAGTTTCAAGTTGATTAGACTTCAACTTCATCAAAAACTTTAACCTGAAGCGGGACAGATGGACGGACGGATGCACAGACCGAAAAACCTAATGCCCCTCTACTAACATAGGTGGGGCATAAAAATCGTCAAAATTAACGCTTTTTGCACCTGATGACCAACTTTGGGGTAGCTTTTTAGATCCTTCAGAATTCAGCTATATATAAATTGTCTTTATACAAATGTATTTGAACTGAAAATGCTATCTATGTGATTTCTCTTTAAATTATACTATTGTTGGATAGTTGTCTCATTGGCAATCATACCAAATCTCAATTTCATACTTATTACTGAACATTTCTTATAGCTAAATTGTCTGCCTTTGATGGGTTTATTTTTATAAACTATCAGACTGAAACTGTAATCTCTATAAAAAATAAGAAGATGTGGTATATTGCCAAGGCAACAACTATCTACCAGAAACCAAATGACATAGATATAAGGAACTATAGGTCACTGTCTGGCCTTCAACAATGAGCAAAACCAATACCCTATATATATAGTAATATCAAAATAAGAAGATGTGGTATAAATGCCTACGAGACAACTATCCACCAGACACCAAATGGCGAAGTGCATCTGATACTGCTTCAAACTTGTTAAGTTTCTTTTCACATGTTCCATGTAAACTCATTTAAAATATACAGTGTTCTTAGGCAGTGCTTTACAGTTTACCATAACAAATTAATCATATAATGCATATATAACATATTCATTTATTAGATTCTTCATCTATGTACTCAATTGAAGGTTCTTTAAAATCAAAAACAGTTTCATCAAAATATTCCTCCTCAATTGGATCTTTAACATCTTCGGGATAAAATGTTGGCATGGGTGGTTGATCCTGTATCTCTCTCCGTCTGTTTGGCAGACATGTATCCATTATCCTGACATAACAATGATTCCCACCTGGTGTGGTACCAGTCACATATAACACATTGTACTTAGTATTTATTCTCAAAATCTGAAACAATAATGAAGAAAGTATTTGTTTATAAAAGTCAACAGATATCTTCCTTTATATTTACCGTAGTTGATAAAATAAGAAATATTTAAGAAACTAAGGTTCCAACTATTTGGGTAAAGTTGTCCATAGAATAATTTGGCTATTTTTAAGGTCCTTTTTGGTTATATAACTTCTAATGTTTCTACAGATTTTTACATCCCTGGTTTTCAAATGTTTAGATTTGAGCATTCCTGAAGAAAGCTAAATCCAGAAAAGCGCTTATGATGCAAAAAAATTATAAAGTGTTATTTTCATTTATATGTCATTAAGGGACATATCACAACGTAATGCAATAGTCATGCAATTGAATACAGGTATCATACAATTATTTTCCTTGCCTTAGAGAGATATGTTAGATCTTCAAATTTCCATTATATACACTTCAGAAAATTTGGTTAATAGAACTTTATTACCCTCAAGCCTTTAGCAAAATTCCAGTCTGCTCCCATGTGACCAGGCATTTTCTTTCCTTTCCATATACCTGCCATGTCCTGTAAACAAAGTATAAATTAGAAGACAATTTGACTGAATTGAAATATGTGGCTAAAAGTATGTTTATGTGTGGGATACCAATAAATGAAGATGTCAATTGAAATGTCTTGGCTGATGAGATGGTGCATATACTATACAATAATCTGGAAAACACTAAAATATCTACATGAAAAACTAGATGCCGGTTGTACTGACTAAACAAATTTTATAAAAAGGCTACCATTTAATTACATTTAAAAAGATTTTACTAGAATAAATTATCTTTATTTCTGATATGCTTAAATAACATTAAACAAACTCTTATCATCTACTAGTAGCTAAATTAGTGAAGTTTGACATCATAGCAATAACTTCAAGAACACTTGCTTTTTAACATTTTAATACTTCTCAAGATTTTTCTCTATGCACTGAGTTGATAGTGGTGTCTATGGTGGTTTAATGACAAAACAATTTTACAACTCCCACCATTAATGTATCTACTAAATATCTTAGAAATTTGAATATCATTGCAAATATATATATGTTATATACTCACCCCTCCACCACCGGTACCTCCCATTCTTCTGTGCCATTTAGTCCCACCATGAGATGCTGGACCACCTTTCATCCCATGTCTCTTTACAACTCCTTGGAAACCATAGTCAATACTGCAAAATGAACAAAACGAACCTTGAATAAACAGACAAAACAAATGACAGAATCAAAATATGTCAATGTATGTGATAGTAACACATCAATGAAAATTTGAAAGGGTAATGTATGCGATAACAACACACAATTATTAAAGAACCTTAGTGAGCACACTCACATACCCCACGCCCCCACATTGTCACTGGGTAAACAAAATCTCACCAGATTCCTAAGTTCAAAGACTCATAACTCCAACAAAAGTCAACTGATAAAAATTTCTTGTAGATATGCACATTTACATATTATGTCCTTATAATCTACAAAGTTTCATGAAATTCTGTTGTGTAGTTTCAGAGGAGTTGCGATGACAAACTGTTGCAGTAGTATATTGAGGCCAATAAGTTCAAAGGGGCATAACTCCTAGAAAAACAATTAAATCATAATTTCCTGTTGATATGCACGTCTACATAGTATGTCCTTATTATCTAAAAAGTTTCATGAAATTCTGTTGTGTGGTTTCAGAGGAGTTGTGATGACAAGAACAGGACTGACGGACTGTAGTATATTGAGGCCAATAAGTTCAAAGGGGCATATCTCCTAGAAAAATAATTGAATCATAATTTCCTGTCGAAATGCACATCTAAATAGTATGTCCTTATTATCTTCAAAGTTTCATGAAATTCTGTTGTGTGGTTTCAGAGGAGTTGCGATGACAAGAACAGGACTGACGGACTAGTATATTGAGGCCAATAAGTTCAAAGGGGCATAACTCCTAGAAAAAAATTGAATCATAATTTCCTGTCGATATGCACATCTACATAGTATATCCTTATTATCTACAAATTTCATGAAATTCTGTTGTGTAGTTTCAGAGGAGTTGCGATGACAAACTGTTGCAGTAGTATATTGAGGCCAATTAGTGCAAAGGGGCATAATTCTTAGAAAAAAAAATTGAATTATAATTTCCTGTCGATATGCACATCTGCATAGTATGTCCTTATATTCTACAAAGTTTCATGAAATTCTGTTGTGTGGTTTCAGAGGAGTTGCGATGACAAGAACAGGACTGACGGACAGACGGACGGACGGATGGGTCAAAACATTATACCTGATGCAAAAATTGCGTGGGGTATTAACATTCTTAAGGGCAATGTTTTGAATGATGATTTAGTGTAAATACCATACAATAAACTGTCAAATATTACCTTACATTGCACATATATAAAGTTATTGACATCTAGCAAAGAATTACACTCAAATTTGTGTTGTGGGTTGATTTAAACTTGCAGTTAGGTGTGAGCTTTAGCTCCATACTGAAGTCCTCCATATGAATTTGAGACAAACTGCAACAATAGCTTTGTTTATTTACTCTAGGTATTGTCAAGTGTGTGAATAAATATAACATATTACTTCTTTTTCCATTTTTGACAAATTAAAAACAGCTACATGAATTTATGGATTTCTGTAGTTCCTTAGTATTTATATATATCTTCATACCCCAAAAAAACTTAGATTTAGTATTTGTAGTTTGTGGAAATATTATTAATTTGTCATTGATTAAACAATAACTTCTGAATAGGGCTAAAACTTTCAATTTCTAAAAGCATAATTATTGAAGAACACAGGGGAAGAAAAGTCATGAAAGTGTGGCTTATTACAATATGAATAAAGGTCCTTGAAATTCTATGTTTTCATAACTTGAAAAAAGGGAACTTAATATTTTATCTTAGAATACATACGTTTTTGCCTGAGCATCTATATAATCTCCAACCCTAAAGTGCATTGCTGTTAATGGCAAACCTAAAATTAAATTAGAAATATTTACTAAGCAATCACTAGGGTCTGAATTGGGGGTCCTTCATTTCTTTATTCTTTAATTATTTAGACCTTTTCCTCTTTTCTTTATTTATTTTGCCCATCATTCTCTATTCTCAATACTTTAGCACCACATTATTCTTTATTCTTTTTTTTTTTGTCTATTTTTCTCTTTTCTGTATTTTTTGCCCTTTATTCTGCACTTTGAGTCCATTATTCTCTATTCTGTAAACCCCATCCAGACCCTCTTTCATGAAAAACTGAATTGTTAGTACTCGACAATGAGCATGAACGACTCATTAATTTCTGGGATCTGACTTATAACAGGAAAAGTATTAATGACGTATAGTAGATGTTTTTTTTACTGGGACAATTTTATTGCTCAACCATAAAGAAAGGCAAACTATTTCTGTACCTTACCAAAAATTATATCAATATCTGCAGGAATAACGAAAAAAGTCCAGACAACGTTTTAATTTCAGTAGGATAGAATGATGGAATAACAGAAATGGTTAACCTCTTTTGAAAGGTCCCCTTATATTTTGTCTCTGAGTGACTAATTAATAGAGGCCAACTTTATTATTCTCTACAGCCTCATATTCGACACTGATATATACCTGTTACTTTCAATAGAGCCTCATATTCAACACTGATATATACCTGTTACTTTCTTTACAGCCCCATATTTAACATTTATATATACCTGGTTGTATAGCAGCATTAGGAGATACAAGGAATCTTGTCAACTTTCTCTTTGGTGGAACACCAGCTTCAGTAAACAAATTGTTATACTCTTTACTAAACTACAAAAGAAGAAGTAGTCATGGTAACAGTCAGCTGTGTAGTATACTATGAACAAATCTTTTTTTCTCCACTATAATTTTAACATATTTTGCAGAAAAAATGTGTCATACACATATACCTGATGCATCCTCACAATAAGTTATATCGTATTGGTCTCTTAGCATAAGAGAATGAAATTTAATGTAAATAATGAAGTTTAAAAGCTTCATCATGTGACCTTCATCTTATGACATCAAATGGAAAGTCTCTCCAAGATGCAAACAGAATTATATTGCAGTATGCTTATGAGTTTCTGTGAATAGGCTGTGGATGCCAACACTTGACCAGGGACACTGATGTGAATGCAGAATATTCCTATTATTCCCCTAAACTCCATTAAGAAAAGCTTAAAACAACTGTGACATCTACCTTCATAACACACATGACTTAAAAAAAATAGTTATAAAGAAATTTTTGACAGCTAATGACTAAAATTAATTGAACAAATTCCATATACTTATACATGTATTATGATTACTGGTTTATGGAAACAAGTTTGAGTTATTTCCCTTTGAACAGAAACTAATAAAGCAAAAAATAGTTCTCTAAAATTAGATATGATCTAACAACTAAAAAATTAAATAGTTCTCTAAAATTGGATATGATGTAACACAATGTATATCTATTTTCAAGTTATAATCAAATGTAATTAATAGTTCCAAGTATTTTTTCTTTCATTTGTCACAAACTAAAATAGATCTGCAACTTATCTATCATTTACACAATGTTATGTAACGAAATATATCCTTTATTAAAAATAGATTATTATCTAATCAAAAGAGTTCACTTCATCCAAAATAAATTATATATAATATAGCATTCAGAAAATTAGTATATACAGAATAACAAACACACCTACCACAAAATTCTTCATAAAATTTACCAAAGAAAAGAAAAAAAATCCAAAATGTCATTTATCATTAATACAATGTCTTTTAAAAAATGAGTTATTTCCCTTTGAACAGAAATCTAGTAATTAATAAGTATTTCATCAAAAATTTAATTCTTGGGAAAGGGCTATAACTCAACAAGAAAAGCTAAAATCGTGAAAATTGAACTTGACCTTCATTTAGTCATAGGAAACAATATATCTAAATTTGAAAAAATTTTGTCAAAGGGTTTTCATGTTAATGAACGGACACTGTTTGGCAGCCGCCCGCCATACATCCCCAAATCAATAACCGATTTTTACTTTCGAAAATCTGGTTAATAAAAACTCTGAATCTTACCAGATGAGGTTCACAGCTTAGGGCACCAACAACCACACTACCATACTTCCTCCGCCACCATGGCTTCCATCCAGCTGATTGGGCAAATTTTTCTGGTGGACTGTATCTTATAACATGGTTGTCAATGATCTATATAAAATAGAAAACTTCAAGAAGTACAGTAAGGTTGAACTGTTTTTAACATTTAGCATCCTAGTGTGTATAACAGTAAATGAATTGTTTATCTTGTAAAATCTAAGAGAATTTATTTTCCTTTTGATGTCACAATCACTTTCCCAATCCTCCTAAAATTTTTCACTTTCAACAAAGTCAGTTAGAAACTAGTACATGTACCTGTAATCTAAATGAATGAAGACTTAGGTGATTTTAGGAGTAAATTTGTACCTGACTAGGGACACAATTTTATGAAGTCTTAAGTTTATTTCAGAAGTGTTGTATCTTACTGTTTGAACATTGTAGAAAATAAAATAATCCAGTACATTAATTAAAATTAAGTAGGTATATAGGTAGACATTAAATTTACAGAGGCAGCTGTAGTGGAAAATTGAAGCAAGAGTGAAAAGGAAATAGTTATTGGTTCTTAAACAAGTCCATATTGAAGTTGTTATATATTTTCTATCATTGTGATAATTTCCATCTTTCCTTTGATTAAATTAAGGCAAAACAATGTCTATGGAACTGAAATACAATAGAACTTCAAAACCTGAGGTCAGTCACTGAAGATCAGAGAACTTCAGGTTACTAGTTTCCATTTTATATAAAATAATTCATAAAATATACAAACCTGAAGTAGTGTTGTTTCTATTTTTGTACCATCTTTTCTCCATTGAGGTATAACTCCTATCTTTAAAGCTAATACTCCAGTTCTTCTTGTTCTGAATAAGATATGTTTAAAACTATTAACAAAAAAAACCTCCTGGAATTCTGCTTCTGAAAAAAGCCCAGACTTTTTTAATGTTTAAACAGATGGATTGCTAAGTCTTAAAAGTCGATTCTTAAACCAAATAGACTTGTTCTGAAAAAGACAGATCTTTAAATGGTGACCTCATGACTGTTTGTTCATAAAAAGATGAATAAAAGATAAGTGCTGTTTAAATATATTAAGTTAGCCACCACTGATGATCTATCTTTGTGATCAAGTAAAATCTCAGTGTGGATACTGTCTGTATGAAAATACTGAGTGTTTTCTTTGGTACATATAAAAATAAGAAGATGTGGTATGATTGCAAATGAGACAACTCTCCACAAGAGATCAAATGACTAAGAAATTAACAACTATATGTCACTGTACGGTCTTTAAAAATGAGCAAAATCCATGTTCCATTTACTTATATCCCCCATTTCCTATGGTTCATACTAAGATCAGTCATCCAAGATTCATAAAAAAAAAAGAAAAAAAAGTTATATTTGCCTATTATTATGACCAAAACACCTTTCCAAAATTCATACATGTATTTTTGAAAAGTCATCAGAATTTTACAAATTCAATATCTTTGTTGCAATTTGTTTCTTCATTGTATAACTCTGGGTGAAATCCTAAACCAGTCAATATGGCTAGCCTGTATTTCTGCACTATTTAAGGTTTCACAAGGTAAACATTAACAAATAAGTGTAGAAATATTTTAAAATTTGTTAATTCATTTTAAAATAATAAAACTTTTCCAGGATTTTTTTTTTTCTAAACAAATCATTTCAAAGATTTTCTTTATCATTGTTATAAGTTTCAGATGTATTACAGTCATACTAACGAAAATGCATACGAGTGAACATTTTCTGGAATTGATGAGACTAAACATGCTTAAATCCAAAGTATTCAAAGTATTTCCAAATATAAAATATTTCCTAAAATACCTTAATCTTAAATTCTATTCCATCTTTCTGATTTTCAGCTTAAAACGTGTTCAATGGATTTGCTTTGTTTTTATATTGTTCTACAATTACACACAATTATTTCCCAACTTACCTTAAATCCCATTCCCCTCTTTCTAATGGTTCTTCTTTCAAAGGACTTGGTTTGTTTTTATACTGCTCTACTGTTAAATCTTTAATAAATTGTTTATTTTCCTGGGTTAACCCCTCATCAAAGGACTTCCCTCTACGTCTTACAAACCATTCAGGATGCCTACTGCTTCTCTTTCTGTAACGCACTGGTTGATAACAAGTTAAAACCCTGTGTTGAAATAAATCAATACTATATTATACAGCAGAATGGTTGATATCAAATTCATACTCACAGAGTTGTTAAATAAAATTTTATGGAACATTTCAAATTTTTATCATTCAAATAATCTGTACCAACAGTTTTTAAAAACCCTGTATGCAGTTATACCATAGATAATATCAAACAAGTAATTGTTTAAAATATATATTGTAATTCAATGTAAAAACAGAGTATTTAACAACAGAAACAGATGTAGATGTAGATAAGGGGGCACAAGATGTGATTTAGAATTCATTATTAATATAACCTAAACCATTCCTCAAATTTTGGCTGCATACCACTCTGAGTGTTATTAATACACATATTGTTTCTATCTTTATTAGTGTGAGAGGAGTTCTGGGAAAATCATATTTTTAATTTTACAATCTACTGGGGTCATTCATACAAAAATGTGTACACAATCTGTTGAACTCCCATTTATACAATGTATGCTATGATTTAATTATACACTTCCCTTCCCGAGAATATTATGATTTTCAGTTTCCTTAAAATCACAGGACTATGAAAAACTAAAGATTTCTAGCCATGTGACTTTAAAGTTTTCAAAATAAACATATTTCTTTCAAACAAGTTGATGGTAAAAAGACAAACACCATCTTATGAAATTAAAATTTAAATCTGGTCTTGACAAGCTTTATGATGCACCCCTTAACAACATCTGAACTTTATTTCTGAAATTATCATTTTTATAGTTACACAACTATATTTTTCCACTAGGTGTACAAAACACTTCAAATTGTCATGTTTAGTTAGAGCTATTTTCCTAATGCTTGTAATTAAGATGTTTGTTTGGCTTGCTTGCTTTGTTTGTATAAAAGTTTGCTCAAGAATTGTAATTAAGATTGACATCTGCAATCGATAGATAGGCGGGGCTTCAGTTTGTATACATTATACTTAAATGTAATTGAATGTTAAGTATAGTGCAGATTATAATGTATAGTACAAGCTGAAGCCTTGTCTATCTATTGATTGCAGATGTCAATCTTAATTACAAGGCTTGAGCAAACATTTATTAAAACAAATCAAGCAAGCCAACCAAACCTTTAAACTACAAGCATTAGGAAAATAGCTCTAATTAGGAATATAAGGGACCTTTAATGTCATAATAAAGTTTTTTTTTAAAGAATATAATTTTCATAAACAGCTATATTTAATTTTGACCCTTACACATATTGGATCAAATAATGCTTAAGATTTACAAAAGTTAAGAATGAAAGAAACTCTGTTAAAATAAACTGTTAAAACACAGATATGTCTTACCTGTAAGTAATTTTGATTGTAAAATGTAAATGTTGAAATCAAAATAGCAATACTTTAACAAGTAAAATATTTTACAAATGATTTTAATTCAATGAAGCATGACTGGAGATACAGGGCCAAATAATTTCAGTGGAAATAAGATATGCCTATGCTATTACAACTACATACGAAATATCATTGACTTAACAAAAGTTTTTCCCCTTAAACTGACCTAGTCACAAAGGAGTAAGTTCGGTAAGGGCCATATTTGGCCCCAATTATTAAGTTCAATGTTTCAACATAAAAAATCTTTTAAGTTTACGAAAACACATGTGAGAGAGTTAAATAGAACTCTTTTTGTCAAAGTTTTAATTTAAAGCGTTGATTTTTACATCTGAAAAAGGTCAAAAATATAGATTTCTGCAAAATTTAATGAAATCTGCCAGTTTTTTTACCAAATTTAGGCTTAGGAAACATTGAGCACAGTAATCCACAAACTAAATATTCAAGCCAGAGATTTAAGGTAGCACTACAGTCAGAATTTTCTGACTCCAACCAACATTTTTGTTGACCAACAGTCTTTAAAGATTAATTTCTCCAAACTACTCAATGGATTTTTAAAATCTTTAACTCATTTTAAAGCTGAAATATAACTCTTTCTTAATCTATAGATAAATTTAATTTTGGTATGATTAATCTCAAAATATAGCTCATTAATTGCCAAAAAAGTGGTCTTCCAACTTGGATGAAAATGGCACATTCAGGTCAAATGGTAGTAAAAAATTTTCATCCCTTTAATCAACCATTCACAATCTACAATAAGATATATAATATTTTTACTGCTGGATGCCAAACCTCAAATCACCTTTCATCTTTGGAGACCTACAAATTCATTTAGAAACAAATTATCCAAAAACTGGGACACAGTATTGTAGAAAATACTCCTCTCAATCACATATATCAAAGTCAAGCCAAAGCGTTACCCATAAAGTTTCTATGTTCATTTTTTCCTTACAATTCTCATGAAAAATTGTTCTGAGAAATGACCTTAAAACTGAATTTCCTCTTAAGAACCCCTATAAATGCCACATAAATACAAAAATTCCACTGGTAACACCCCAGGAGTGTTCTGACACCATTACTTTATCAATAGAACCACACACATGGTCTTTGATGCTCTAATGCTGTAAAATTTGCATTTTGTGTGCACTGTATAACACTAACTTGGCATTTGGCGGGAGTTTGACGTCACAGATTTGACCAACATCTGTGATGTAGTAATTAAATAAAGACAAAGCTCTGCCTCTGTCCAGACAGTCTAAGATAAGAGAATAACAGGATTGGCAAGCTGCATCATAATTAATATTTAACATCATTATTCTCACTATAAAGAATAATTTTCATTTGAATTTTAAAAAGAAATATAATATGACCATGATGACTGAAATTAGCTAAAATATTAAAATTGTGCATTAAAAGACATGTCCATAAAAAGACCAAGACCATCCCCTTCTTGAAAATAGACTGTCCAACATGATTTATGAGTTTCATGGAATTAAAAAAAATCACTTAACTTAAAATTAGTTAAAATGCCTAAAATTATTTTTAAATGTAGAAGACCAAAGACGAGAAATTTATACAGGCAGTCAGAGGCTTTCAAAGATACTTTCACCCTCTTTTCCATATTTTTTTTTTCATTTTGGTAGATTTTTTCCCTTTAAATTTTTTCCTATTCATATCTTTTTCTTTTTCTCTGTTCTAAACTTCCAGGTTTTATAAATTAGTTTTGTTGCAATGCAATGAGATATTTATCTTGTGGTCAGGGATTAACAGCTGGACACTGGTATCAACAGATGATTGACATATTAGCCCCTCCCAAATGCCTATATATTTAGATTAATTACATGTGCTTTAATTTACATAAGTTCATTATCAATTTACTCCCTGTTGTGATATGTTAATGACTGGGATTTTTACAAACTGTGCAGAAAAATACTTACTTCAAAATTATGTGATAAAAAAAATATCTTCAAAAAATCATTGTTAGACTGTAGTGCTACCTTAAACTGTCATAACAAACATTATGTTAAAAGATTTTTTTTTTGTCGACGAATGCGCTCTATGTTCATGATGTTATCTGTTAAAAGATGAATGGAAATTTACCCTTTTTCGTTGAATTTTCATGGAAAATTAAAATGAGTGCTATCTGTGACGTCATAAACAGAATGCCAGTACCTAAATTTTCAACAAAAGGACATATTTCCTATCTAGTCACTGTGTTAGCTATGATTCATTGTGATATTGGTCAATAAACCTGAATTTGAAATTTTAGCTAAAAATAGGGGCCATTTTAGGGCCTTATCAAACCTACCCCTTTAACATGTAAGCTATGAAAGTTTCAAAGTCAATATACCAGGACTGAAGGGGCAGTGTCAAATAATCTCCATGGAAATGAGATGTGACAATGCTTACACAACTAGTATGCATACCAATTATCATTGACATAACATGTTCAAAGTAGTTCCCCTCGAACTGACCTGATTACATATTTTAACCAGGAATCTATGCAAAAGTTTCAAAGTATACAGACCATGACTTAGGGGACAGGGCCAAATATTTTCCATGGAAATGAGATGTGCCAATACTAATACAACTGCATCAGTGTGGGAGTTTAGAAATAAATAAATTTTTTATTCATGCATTTGACTTTTATTTATGTAGGTCATGCCATGCCTTGAAACTTTTCAAATGCATAAGTCAATGTAAGTTTGTCTGTTTTTAGTCTATTTAGAGTAGATTTTGTAGTGAGACCATGGCAATTTTTGCTTTTAGTAGGTTAAATACCGTTATGTGACAATAGTTGAGATTTTAAGTTGTCAAATATTAGCTTTAGAAAGTACATCACACCTAGAAATTGTGAAAGCATCACGAAAGAGTATATTCTGCAGACAATTTGATGCACAGACAAGTGGTGATCTTGAAGCCATAATGTTCCATGAGTGATCACTAAAGTGTTCATTTTCTGTATTATATTTATTTTCGAATGTTATTATAAATATTTTTAGCGTACGCAATTTTTCGGATAAAATCAGACATTGCATTTACATAGAACCGCCATATAGTGCAATGGAGGTTTTGTAAACAGTCTCCTATATTTCATGTGCCCCCTTTTTCTTTCTCTGTTTTTTTTTAGGAAGTTGATCTTTAAGATTTTTTTTTCTTTAATATTTCAACTGATTTCCCTTATGTTGGGTGTTCTTGTTCTTATCAAGGATTTGTATACTATATACAAATCCTTGCTTTTATACCTTCAATCTTAAAATAGCTGTAGTTAATATACAGAAAATAAGACTTAGTAGTGAGGCAGTATTTGTTTGAAAGATTTAAATACCTTTTTTGCTAAATTATCAAAAATGAATTTAAATTTGAAATTTATTCGCAAATTAAAACAAAGTATCACTCAAGAGTCGGTCAATACAAATTCTTAAGATAAGTTTTCGTATATTTCTTCATTTTGAAACGTAAGCATGGTTAGGAATGATGTGTTACAACTTGAAATAATAATTATATTGCACGCATGCATGTACTCAGGGACATATATATGTCTCTGGTGTACTATAATTGAAAATGTCATGTATAGTTATGTATTTTGTAATGCAATGTATTATAATTAAAACTCGTGCTGCAGAGGCTGTCTTTTATATTTTGAGTAAATCATGTCACTGATAAAAATAATACTGGATGATCGTTTAGCAGCAGAGCAGTTATCTCATTGCGACCGAAACAAACAGCGTCTTAATGTAGCAAAAATTAAAGAGGAAATGATACGTCTGCAGAACCGCGCAAAGCCAACTACTCAAGATTAATATCGTGTATAATCTGAAATCGAGTACACCTTTCCGTGATTATTGAGCACTACAGTACATCATTTATTAGTAATATAGTAACGTTTTGTTAGAGAATCATTTAGAAGTTTCCAGGTTAGGGTTAACCGTGAATTGATTTTATATAAACAATATAATTCAACAGTAAGGTCTATTTTAAGAAATGGGAGGATATGGTTAACCTAGTTGATCAATAATGAACACTATACTTAATGCCAAAATAAAGATTTACACAAAATAAAGACTACGAACCAGACCTAAAATGAAAATTACTCGAACATGACTTATTTAAAATATAAACAGTTATTTTTGACATAGTAAGATGATAGCTTTGATATGATTTTTTTTACCGAATTATCCTTAAAATTGTGATAGATCTAGAAAATTAAAAAAAATTACAATCTACAAATGTATGAACTCGAACTTGTTATCTTTATTTTAGCAATTCAGATTCATCATCACAAGAATATTGCACAGAAATAACTGTATTTCCTTATTTATTATCAAAGCACAATGAAAACATGAATGTTCATTTAATTATTATACCATTGTACTACTTATCTTTCATACCATCGGCTATTACAAGTTCTTTTGATGATGTGACATCAGAAACTCTTGGTGCTTCTGTCAAAGGCTTGATAGCAGCCTTTGGGGACTATAATGCAAACAAAAACACAGACCTGTTTGTTATTGGAGATGCAGGTAATTTGTTTTAATGCCAAAGACGAGTTGCAATTATGGACCAGTTATGGCTATACCAAATAATGTTATACAGCAGTTGTCCATCCTGACAAATCTGGGACTATTATACTAAGTTAGTATAATAGTCCCAGGACAAATGTACAGTTCTCACTGCTTCAAACAAGAAAACTATCAAACATAATTACATTCTTTATAACCATACCTAAGAATCTGTCTCTTCAGCAAAATATCTGGGCGTTACTCTCCAATCTAAGTTAAAATTGACTCAACATACTAACAATATTATCTCAAAATATGCAAGTAAAAGACTAGGTTTCCGTTAAAGAAATCTCAAAACATCCATCAAAAACTGTGAAACATTAAGTCACAGACATACCTAGCACTTGTCCGTCCAAGTGTCATGCTGCTAGGCATGCTAGGTATGCCTGTAATCGTTGTGATCTACTTACATCTAAAGACTGCTTCATATATTAATTTTTCCCTAGTATTACAATTACACAATGGAATTTACTACCTTCAAATGTAGTACTTTCCCCGTCACTCTATATTTTTAGAGAACAGGTGACACCTACTGTTCTCTACAATATAAAACAGTAAATCTTATTAGAGCTATTTTCCTAATGCTTGTAGTCTAAAGGTTTGGTTGGCTTGCTTGCTTTGTTTGTATAAATGTTTGCTCAAGCATTTTAATTAAGATTGACATCTGCAATCAATAGATAGGCAAGGTTCCAGCTTGTATACATTATACTTAAATGTTATTGGATGTTATGTATAAATGTATAATGCAGAGTATAATGTATACAAGCTGAAGCCCCGCCTATCTATTGATTGCAGATGTCAATCTTAATTACAATGCTTGAGCAAACATTTACACAAATAAAGAAAGCAAGCCAACCAAACCTTTAAACTACAAGCATTAGGAAAATAGCTCTAATTATGTTAAAAGTTTTAACCACAAGTTCATGTTAGTTTTCTTCTCTTCTTGCTAAAAAAAAGTAGAAAATAGGAAAATGTTCAATTAAAGTTATTTTCTTATCTTGTTCAACCGCAAATAAATCATTTATGTACTCTGACTACCAATTTTCTCATGACAACCTAATACCAACCACGAAAAGTAAATAATTATGTGTCAAACATGTGACTGACAATGAAACTATTTGTGTATTTGTAATAAAGACAAACATTATAGAGACTGTCAGGAGCAGTGGCTTTTCAAAATTTATTATACATATGTATACAACACAAAACAAATTTCCTTAATTGTATTCACCACAAATGGAATCAGTTTCAATCAAATTACAAACAAATAGCGCATAATAACATGAATTAAGATTAATCTTCCTATACACAAAATACACGTACTGTACATAGAGGGTCTCTGCCCTTGTTGATTACTTTTCTTGTGCACGCACCACTTTAAATACTAACAGAACTTCTTGCACTATTGTTATTACAATTCAGTCGGCTTTCTATAATGGAAAATGCATACACCTATCGTACATTAATATATATTTCATTTAGTCAATGTTAGTGAAAATTTCTATATATAAGTTAACCCATTGGTAATCCATAAAATATCTCATAAAAATCACCACACTAGAGATCCTCTTTTTTGTTAATGAATAAGAGGACAAAAAGACCATGACTATGGTCAATAGTGCAAAAATGAAGTGGTAATGTACAATTTTTTAATCATGCATCATTTGTTGCTGGACATCTGCTTGTATACAGTATATGTATACATAATACTGTATTATGCTCTTTTCAAAACAGACAGATCAATTCCTTTTTATGATTTGATGAACCTGTAAGGTTTTCATTGGTCCTTGTTTAGACAGGCCTCTTATTATCATATTATCTGCTTGTTGTAAAACAATGTAAAAGGCTATTTTTCTCAGTTTTGTATGATTATTTTATATGTTATAGGCACTAGTGTTAAAATTTATCTTGCCACGAAAGAAGTGACATCTGATGAAAGCAAGTACCAGGAGATAGTACTTATAGATGGAAATACTGCTAATGGAACCGTCATTACAAGTGTTGTTCCTGCTGACTTTGATGGTGACAATCAGATGGATATCCTGGTTACTAGGCAACTCAAAGATGTGTCAGGGGTCAGAGTTCAGATTTATTGGGGACATCATCAGCAAACTAAATTAGGTATGAATCTCATATCATTTTATTTCTTTTGAATTTTATGGTTATACAAATTTTGTTCATTTACATTTGAAAAAAAAATTAAAAAAAATGTACTATCAAATCTTAGTGATTGCTTTGATCATTGGTTTAAGACATTTTTCATAGGTCCCTTTTTGGTCCTTTAACTCCTTGAGTATTGAAGTACTTATACATCCTTAGCTTTTCAAGTTTTAGGTGTTTTTTTTCTTAACTAGAATGAGCTGATGTAAATCTGGAAAAGTATACCAAATTTACAAAGTGATATTTTCATTTTCTACAGTCTTCATGATAACATTAAAGTACATGTACCAACTAAATAGTCATGTGATTATTTTGACAATCTTCCATAAAGGTAATCAAATATCCCTCTGAAACTTATATGTTGATTGTTCTAAAATAGCAACAAGTGAATAGAATTTATTATATTTTGTAACTATCCAACATTAATTAGGACGCTATGAGCTACGACCATCAGTAGCAGTACTTGTCTATAGTTGAAGACCCTGTTGTTACCTCTAGATCTTTAAATTTTTTTGTGTGTCATTAGGTATCTGTCTCAGTGGCATACCCTATACACATAATACATCTATTATCTAAAACTTGAAGAGGAGTTAATAATTCTGGAAAAAGGATATGTGATGGATGTACATATAACAATATTCTGAAGATAACCATACATGTGCAATAAAGGCTTGTGTTTTTACAACAAGATCAAGTTGGCTCCTACTGTTTTTATATACTGGGCATAGGTCAATATAATTGATAATTTTGATATCCTGTTATCAAATACATTTGTATTTTGTAGAACCAGTGCCTTTAGAAATTCAGGGAGGATTGAAAGATCAACCGTTAGTATTAGAGTAAGTACATTGTATATATAAATATATGATAAGATCATGTACAGTGCAGATTGTCTTTAGCTTGCAGTGGGATGTGAGTTTTTGCTCTGTGTTTGGCTGTGACTTTGGGATGAAGAACACCAATAAAAGTACTATTCATTCGCTATGGGTTTTATCAAGTGTGTGAAGGGATTCTGTCATTAATTGATAAACCATATAACTCTTTTCCATGTATAAAAAGTAATTAAAAGATAAATTGTTAGGATTAAGTGCCTGTATCAATTAAAAATGTAAGATTGACTGATCTATGATTTCAATCTCTGAAGATACAGAAATAGATTTATCAACATTCAATCAATATTCAGTACCATGTAAACTATTTTAACATGAACTATATATCTTTCTGAAGCTACATTTGTACATGTTTAAGAAGCTACATTTGTACATGTTTAAAGAAGCTACATTTGTACATGTTTAAAGAAGCTACATTTGTACATGTTTAAAGAAGCTACATTTGTACATGTTTAAAGAAGCTACATTTGTACATGTTTAAAGAAGCTACATTCATGACATTTGTACATGTTTAAAGAAGCTACATTTGTAAATGTTTAAAGATTCCAGCCTTTCCTTACCCTATTAATTCGTTATTCCTGGTGATTGATAGGCCAAAAATCTATTTTCTTTCAAGGACTTCTACTGATAATGTTAAAATTGATGTAACTACCTTTTTCTAGCTGTAACAAGTCTGTGCAAATTTTACCTTGACCCAAAAACCTTCACTATTTTATTTTAATCACCTGGGAGAAGTTCAGCGTGATGTTTTATTGGTCTCAAAAATTGGCTAAAGTATGTGATTATGTTACACAGGTGACTTATCTCTGTTAACAGTTATTGTCTGTCAAGAGACTGTAGTCACAGAAATGAGACAAGCATGCTATTTCCAGTCTCAATATTATCAACAGTTGTTAAAGTTTATGATTAGGTTTCACAGGCTACATATAGTGTTCTCCCTAGGGCCTTTTAGCATCATGGCAATGTGATGCTATAATCTTAAATGTGATGCTATCTGAAGTGATTTTCTTATAAGATTGTGTTATGGATGTGATGCTATAATTTTTAGAAACAAGATGGTATTTCAATTTCCCCTGTTTACCAGGATGCTAAATGAAATATCTGGGGAGAACACTGGTACATATCTCTGTGTTAATGGTTTACTTTAAATATATTTCAAGTATTTGAACTTTTAAATAAAATGTCTGGTGTTAATTGATATATGTAGTAACCAGCCCAGAATTCTTTTTATATTTTATAAGGTAACTTTTTTATTTTTTTAGTGCAAATGGTAATATGATTCCAGATTTACTAGGTGAAAGTTTAGATGGTAAAAGACAATTTTATATATTTCAGTAAGTATAAAAAAACTGCTGTACGTTTAACACTAAAATCACCATTAATCATTGTTACATTATAGATTTTTTGTGAAAATAAAGGAGATGTTTGATATACTTCAGGGAGATATTTTGTTCTTATAACTCATTTATGGTGTTCAAGTTTTATTGAAATTTGAATGGAAAGACTACCAAAGGCTTTAAGAATTGAGGACCATAAAAAAATCTAAAAATCTATAGGAAGACAGCTAGTCTTGGGTCTGTATACAATGAAACAAGAAATAACATTTGGGCAATACCAGTTATGTGCTCTGGAAGGGTATTCATATGGTAATGAGTAATAACCAGTAAAAAGAACATGTATAATGTATGGTGGTAAAGATACCAGCACATCATAATTTTTTTGATTTAACAATTTTTGTGGTATATCATTTACTCATAGCTCTTCTTTTAATGTCTTTTATTTTTCCAGGAATGGACATAGAAACTACACAACAATGCCTGTGAACTCCACTGATCCATTAAAATATCCACAGAGTAGTGCATTCCTAGATCTCAATGGAGATCTAATTGCAGGTAAGGATTCTAGTTTATTTAAAGAATAATAACAGTAATGTAGTTAAAGAGTTGCTGATATCCATACACGAGATTCCAATTTCGTATTTATGAATGAACTGCCTCGGTTGACCTAGGGTTTATTTAGGGTAAATGCATCATGGGACATTGTGACGTAAAGATATTTGCATTATGAGATCAAATTTTCTGGGGAAGGCAACAATTGGAAGATCATGTATTGGTATCATAGATGAGCAAGTAAAACAGATATTTGCAAAAGTCTAATATCAAAATGGCAAAAACTACATTACTGTTAATCTTATTCTTATGCATTGCAAAAATAAACAATGCTTTATAACATGTCACTTTTATTATTCTTCCCTTAGTTTATTTATTTTGTATTTACATTGTATCATAGGTCAAATTTATTTGTTCAGTGTATGTTAACTGGTGTTAATATGTCCTTTGATTGAGTTAAGCTATTTCAGTTGATATTTTATAGTGTGTCTTTCTATGTTGTGATGTTACACTATTGTTTCAGAAAAAGGGTGAAGGTTTGGTACCATTAAAACGTTTAAACCCGCTGCAATTGTTTGCACCTGTTCTAAGTCAGGAATCTGATGTTCAGTAGTTGTCGTTTGTTGATGTGGTTCATAAGTGTTTCTCGTTTCTCGCTTTTTATATAGATTAGACCGTTGGTTTTCCCGTTTGAATGGTTTTACACTAGTAATTTTTGGGGCCCTTTATAGCTTGCTGTTCGGTGTGAGCCAAGGCGCCGTGTTGAAGACTGTACTTTGACCTATAATGGTTTACTTTTTTAAATTTTGACTTGGATGGAGAGTTGTCTCATTGGCACTCATACCACATCTTCTTATATCTATTTAGAGCTTATAAAACAAGAATAAAAATAGAATTAAATAATTCAGAAAACAGTGAGTCTAATTAGAATCAGATGTATATTCTATCATATATTATTGATATTTTCTCCATATATAACACAATATGCATCCAGACACAGATGTGTAATAGGTCAAAATTAGGGGTCAAATTCTTCTTCAAAAGTGAATTTATTATCATGTTACTTTGGAGATTAAATGAACTTTATAATCATAGATCACCTTTGTTTATGTAAAGCATCAAAATCCATAAGATTTTTACCAATTTTCTTTCTATATGCATATTCACATAAGAGGTACATCACTTTCTTGAGACCCTGGCTACCATTGCTTTAACTGACAATACTTAACCCTATAAGTTAGTTGTAATTAGTATCAAGCTTAACTTCAAGAATTTTCTCTATTGATAAGTTATAGGCATTTTAAGGATCTAGTCAAAACAAAGGGAGACCTTACTGTTGTTATTTTTAAAGTTTAGAACCATCTATTTTATTTGTAGATTTGTGTATTGTATCAGAAAAAGACAAGAAACCACAGCTGGAGTATTGGTATAATAAGGTGATTGTAGAAATATATTTTACATGTAGCAAGCTGAACTTCTAATTTTGTCATGAAAATGTATGAAATATACCTGTCTTAAGGCATTATTCACTTAATAATGATATTTATTAACATTTCACTGGTTAATAAACCACCTTAAATAAAATTACACTTTTTGAAATGGATTGGTTTATTTACAGGATGGTACTTTAACATTTGAAAAAGCAATACCATATCCAACAGATGCTAAATTGTTTGGTCAGATTACATTCCTAGATATTGGAGCTAACAGAGGTAATTATATGTGATAGTTATCTTTAAGAAATATGGTGTATTTATAATGGCGAACTTTAACCTGTTAGCAAAATGGCTCTTTCAGCAATGTATATATAAAGAGAAAACATGTGAAAAATCATGAAAATTTTATGTATAATAATTCAATTAAAAGTAAAGGAAGCAAGAAGTTTTTCATATTTGTAATATTAAGTTATGAGAATTAAATAAAAGATTATTTTCTTCCTGATATCCACAAAATGCATGCATAAAAAAAGGTCTTGTTTGGTGTATGGCAATGCTAATAACTAATTATGAACAGTGAAATATTGTATAATATTGTAATTGTTGAAGAGAACCATGTTTATGTAATTTTTCCCAGCATGTACCTACAGTCAACTATTATATAACTGTTTTATCATGTTTATAGCTGAAGGGAACCATGTTTATGGTATTTTACCAGCTTGCACAGATACTAAATGTACCAAAAGTGTGTTGTATGTGTTAACAGACTCTCAAGATCAGGTAATAGTATATGATAAGTATTTCTTAATATAGAAATAAGGAAATGTAGTATGATTGCAAATGAGACAGCTACCCACCAGAGACCAAAAAAACAAGGATGTCAATAACTATAGGGCCCTGTACAGCCTTCAACAATGATTAAAACACATACCATATAGTAAGTTATAAATGGCCCATAATGAAAAAATGTGACAATTCAAAAGAGAAATGTTGCATAGTTCACAATGAAGAAGCAAGTAATTAAAAGTTTGAGGAAAGGAGCAATACCATAATACCATCAAGGTGATTAATTGTTAAATGATTTGTTGTCTTAAATGAATAAATCTGAAAGATCATTGTAGTATTATATTTTTATTGTCATAGTGGAGTAAATTGGACTTGAATATAAAATTAGACAAGATGGACTGGAACTTTGTCCCCCCAGACCAAAATCCTGCTGGAATGGACAAAATACCTATCACTGTACGTGTAGGGGACTACAACTTAGATGGATATCCAGATCTGTTAGCAGTACTACGTAACACATCACAAGAGGGGTAATTTTCAATAAAAAGTACTTGTACTTTTACTTAGTATTCATTTTCATATCTTTAATTGAAGGTGATATTTATTTATTAAGAATATAGGTAAATGCAGCTACAGCTTATTGATTAGTCAATAGACTACACACTGATTAAATTGTACACTAACTCATTCAATTTACAAATATCTTATATCTTTTTAAGGGGGCCTCGGTGGCCGAGTGGTCTAAGTAGTTACTACTGTAATCACTAGCCAGTCAACACTCAGGTTGTGAGTTCAAACCCCGCTCATGCGGGTGCACTCGACTCCAATCTTAATTGACTAAGATTGTCAGTTTTCCTATCGAAGGTCGGTAGTTTTCTCTGGGCACTCCGGCTTCCTCCACCAATAAAAACTGGCCGCCATGAAATGGCCCAAAAGCGGTGCTTAAAAGTGGCGTTAAAACACCAAAAATAAAAAATCAAATATATCCTTTTATGATGCTGTTTTTGAGTGAAAGCTGCAAGCTAAGCAATATATTTGTAACACTTCAAGTAAAACTGTCTAGGTATCTGATAAGCAGTTTGTTTTGAAGATCAATGATATCTTACTTATATACTGTATGAGCAGTAAATCAATGTTCATTCATATCAAATCTAAATGATAAAATTTAATACTAAGAAATGAAGGATTTTGTAAGTTATCATTATATTGTATTTTTATGACTAGGTTTCAACAGAAAGCATTTATCTTAGAGAACATAGCTTGTTCTAAGTGTGCCACAAAAAGACATTTTGGTTTTGGATATGAAGTACCAATGCATTCAGATAAAGAAAAGGCTTTGATACCAGCTTTCTATGATTTCCAAGACGATGTGAGTACTGCTTATTTGATACCATAATCTGAAAGTATGTTACTGTACCAATGTCAATGGTTGAAAAGTAACTGTAGTGCTTAATTTATTGATACATCTCAAATAGAGTTAAGATATATGAATCCTAAGAATTCAGAGGCAGATTTTATTATTATTTTGGGGGGTGGGGGGGCATATAGAGCTACTGATATGGTTAATGCATAGACTTTTTTTAATAGTCCCTCTCATTACATTGCCTTGATTCCCCCTCCCCTTTTCAATTCCTTGTTCTGCAACTGGAATCAAAGTGAGTTGTTTTGTTTCATATCATATGTATTCAGTTGCAAACAAACATCATATTAATTTTTATTATATATTTATATATCTGTCTGTTTGTTTGTCAGTTTCACTTTTTGTATCTTGATATAAATTAACTTGATCCAATTAAAATCCAAGATAAAAAGACTTTAATGAATATGTTATAATTACTTTTACAAATTATCACTGATTGGTCAAAAATATCAGTGAACAGAAAGTCAGGCATTAGGACATTTATGTTAGATATTAGTGAGAGATATCAAGGCAAGGCCAAAACAATTTGACCATACAATTTTGTTTCCTGCAATAGACAATGTCCAAATCGTACCATTACTTTCTTGGTGTTCATCGTTTTGCACCTTCTCTCGCTCTACATGGAGGTGTTGGATGAATCCCTAGCCAATTTAGGAGATGGGTAAACCTAATGTGGTATTGGAACAAAGTTCTTATGACAATGATAGAATTACAAAGCTGGTGTTTGATGTTGACTATAACCGTTGTACTGACAACTGGTGCTGTAAATTGAAAAAAATATTCTATAAACTTAACTTAGAACATTATTTTGAATCACAAACAGTTGTAGATTTGAAAACTGTCCAGTTGAGCATCTTGCATCTCTATTCAAATATATGGAATGATTCTACACAGAATGTATCGAAACTACGAACTTGTATAAATTTCAAAACTGTTTTTGAACATGAACAATATGTTAAGCTCACTTTAGACAATAGAACGTTCACATTTGACACAATTCAGATATGGATTATTGCCTTTGAGGATAAAAACTGGACGTTATATTGGTGAACGACCAACAGAAAGACTCTGTAGTTTTTGCGCTGATGAAGTGGCCGAATCAAAGACTCATTTCTTATTGGACTGTTCATTCTATACTCTTATCTGAGAACATTTGTTTGGGGAACTTTTGACAACATCTTCTTTCTTATCTATTAACAGTAACGAAAAATTTAAATTGTTAATGTTGAATCATACATGAAAATCAGGCATACTCCAAAAGATGTCCAGGCATACTCCAAAAGACGATATTTACAAATAGATATCTAAAATAATTAACTTTAATTAACAGTATTGAAGATAAATTCATGAATAGTTTATTATTTGCAAGAACGTGAAAATTGTTAACATGTTTAATATTATTTAATGTGACTTATAGGTCCATTGGGCTGGGTGCATTTATATCTCTTTATATTATATTGTTAAAATTTGTACATATGTACACATGTCACTACAATAAATGATTTACTTACTTACTTACTTACAAAGTCTTAGGTCTTAGTGTAGGATTTTGAGAAGGGTGGTTAGATTACCTTGTAAGAGATGTTAATAGATTTAATTCATCCTCCACCTCTCTTTGAAAATACCACAAAATTAGGTCATCATCTAAACCACAAGCTAGTTTACATTTAATAACTGGTAAAAAATAATATTGAGACTTGCTGCTGACCTTTTACAATATTGTAGCCAGATAATATTTAACTTACAGGTTATCAGACATAGTGTTATTTATATTTTCTTCTTTATAGGGTATCCTAGACCTGATAGTAACAACTTTTGGAGAAGACAGTAGTCCACATATACATCTGTTAAAACACACTTTTACTGACGATGCTTTCTTCCTAAAGGTGAAAGGTAAGTTAGTATGGATATATATTTTATGATAATTTTTGTAGGGAAACAGAAATCTTTGATCATATTTCTTATTTACATATGATGTCAAAGTCAATTGTTCTCATGGTTATACAGCTATTTGACAGATATTGTAAAAAGAATATATTAAGGATGTACACCTCTGAGGAGTCAAAAATTTCTAGAATTAAACTTTTTTTCTTAACCTGATTTTTGGGTTTATATGACTGTAAAAATATAATCGGCGAAGAAAAAATCAATGGTGGTGCACTTCTTTTTTTGCTACGGTCATTTGAAAGTACCCAATTCTGATGATTTTCCCATCTTTCATCAATTTTTACCCGTTTTTGGACTATTATCATGAAAAAAATCCCAGTTTCACAATTTAACTTTTTTTCATACTTTCAATAAAGATGAAGTGGACAAATCTGAATAAATTTAACTTAAAAAAACTATAGGTAGGTGTTTATATAAGAAAGTTTTATAAAATTTTGTTGCTTTTTCGTATCAAATTGACCATGCTGTCAATTTTGTAAATTTGGAATTTTTCTCTTTTTTTTTTAGAACAAAAAGCATATTATTTCAACTTCTTTGTTATAAATGATTGAAAAACTACATATCGAAGAAATTTGAATAGAAAAAATTGATATGGGATGTACATATATCTGGTAAAATCATTTCTTGTACCCCTCGTCCATTTTCTCAACATTTTGGTTAACGAGACTGACTTGATTGGTAATAAAATTTGAAAATTTTATTACTCAAAAACAACTTCTTGTAAATACACAATTTTTTCACAGAGTTAAGTTTGATATTTTCCACTTGTATCACATGTTTTGGAAATATCTCCAGAACAAGATTTCAACGAGACTGAAACATCAGAAGAATACCTCCTTAATGCCATTTTAAAGTCACAAATTTGATAAGAAAATTGGCAACCGACACTCAATTTTTGTAGCAATGTTTTATATGTTTGCTTTTTTCTCATAATGGAAAAATATTTGAATATAATGTGGATTTTCTCCTTTTCAGTTGTTAGTGGACTGTGCAGCACAAATTGTCTCAATGGTAGAGAGGTAATTATAGTTTTATATCTTCATGTGGTGTATATGTAAAGAAGGAAGTGTGGATACTACTGTCATGAGAACGCAACCAAAACAATCAAAAGACATCTATAGGTCAACATATAATCTTCACCAAGTCTTTAAACAATATTCCAGTAATTTAATACAACTGTGAAAGTTAAAACCTTTAGATTCTGACTTTTGCCTTTATATCTTTTATATGCAAATGAGGTACATAATTCATGTTTAGAATCTTTACTTTAATAAATACAAATTCTGTAGTCTTTTGTCCAAAGGGTGATGATTTGTAAAGTGGCAATTTATAATACAAGAGTTTAAAGAAAAACATAACATACATGTATTATATAAAGTATTGTTAGTTGTTTGTGTGGTATAATTATCTCAGAATTAGAATGAATGTTTTGAATATGGTTCCATGTGTCTCCACATAATTTAAACTCTTTGTTATTTCAGCCTTATGGTATAAACCAGCCTGGGCCTGCTGTTAAGTATACAACTGAGGACAATGAAGGGAGGTTACAGATTGGCATAGGTAACTACTTCTGTAGAATTATATTAATAATGGGGTTGTAGGAAAAGGCTATGGATGTCTTCTTATTCAAATTGTAGACAAGTAGTTGAATTATCTCCCCATGAATTAGACAACTAGTAGAATTATCTCCCCATGAATTAGACAACTAGTAGAATTATCTCCCAACGAATCATACAGCTAATTAAATTGGGGGGTGTTAGTAGTTTTGTTAATTAGAATTATCTCCCCATGAATTAGACAACTAGTAGAATTATCTCCCAATGAATCATACAGCTAATTAAATTGGGGGGTGTTATTAGTAGTTTTGTATATAATACTTAGGGTATCCCAAAGTAAAAATGATGATGGATGAATTTTCCTGTTTATTAATATAATTGGTTAAAAAGCATTATGATTATTGTATTTGATAGTATAAAGTAGTAAGTTATCTTTCAAATAAAGCTTGTTCAATGATCAGAAACTTCCTATTATTTTGGATTTGAAAATTGCCACTATAGATTTTTGTAGGACAGGCAATTGTGCTCAGAAGTATTATTATCTTACCTCCTATACATTTTTAGGAATATGATTGGTTAAAAGCAACTGCATGGAGACCGTGTATATTTCATATTAGGTTAATAGGCGGGGCTAATTTCAATACACGGTTGGTAGTGGTGTTACGTCCCTTTATAAAAACAACATGGTGTTAAGGAAAAATCTGAACGGTTTCAACAGACGAAGAAATTGATGATGAATGATTGAAATAAATTCATAAAACACATTCAAAGCTAACACGTTGTTATTGGTTGCATTTTTTTTTTGTATATACAAATGGAAGTAGGTTCTTAATACTAAGTATTGAAGACTTAATCACTTTGATAGACCACTAGTCTAAATACCACTTGTTAAGATAGTCGGTAAGATAAACTCGTTACACAGTGTGCTAGTGACCTAATATGATATATATGGGGTCAGTAAATTCCATATGGGGATTCGAGCTTCACTCTCACCCCACATGGAATTTACTGACCCCATTTATATCGTATTAGGTCACTAGCACACTGTGTAACAATTAATATTCTTCCATCAACAGTTTGTAATTGCCAATATGATAATGTACTTTTGGTGAAAAGTTGTACCGGTATATATTATTTTATATTGAACTACACTATATTCTTTTATCTCTAATGTAAGCTGGGCCTTGTAACAAACTCTCTGTACATTTGATGTATTTACAGCTTCCCAGCTAACACAGTCGGCTCACTTCAGTTTACAGTTACCATTTACAGTATTTGGATTAGGCCAGACACCAAACTTTGTAGACACATTAGAAGTAGCCATTCCATATCCTGTAGGAAAGGTAAGGATTAGAAGAATTAGGTCAGACACCAAACTTTGTAGATACATTAGAAGTGTCCATTCCCTATCCTATAGGAAAGGTAAGGATTAGCAGAATTGGGTCAGACACCAAACTTTGAAGACACATTAGAAGTATCCATTCCATATCCTATAGGAAAGGTAAGGATTAGCAGAATTAGGTCAGACACCAAACTTTGTAGACACATTGGAAGTAGGCATTCCATATCCTATAGGAAAGGTAAAGACTGGAAAAATTAGATTAAATACCAAACTTTGTAGATACATTAGAAATGTCCATTCCCTATCCTGTAGGAAAGGTAAGGATTAGAAGAATTAGGTCAGACACCAAATTTTGTAAGTACATTAGAAGTAGGAGTTCCATATCCTATAGGAAAGGTAAATATAAGATGAATTAAATCAAACATTGAACAATGTAGACACATTAGAAGTAGGCTTTCCATATATAGCAAAGGTAAAAAAAACAAAACTTTTTTGACGCATTATAAGTAGCCATTCCATATCCTTTATGAAATGCAAGGTTTTTAAGAAAAAATAAATCAGACACCAAACTTTGTAGATACCTGTAATTGGCCTTGTAAACTCCGCACTAGTACATTGTCTGCATCACCCTTTTCGCCAAGTTTGGAGACTTATTGGTTTTATTTGCTCAGTTCTTATTATTATTATTATTCTTCCCTCTTCTTCTTCTTCCACCTCTTTTAAATTTGAATTTATACTTTCGTCCTGGTGAAACATGATAGCTTAGGAAACATTGAGCGACAGATGCAAAGTGATGACTTGGTGGCTACATAGACATGTGAGCACATTGGAGACGAAAAATGCCAAGTGACGCCCCTAACACATTCCATATGGTCCTTGGTACGACTGCACTTGTGATGACCTTAAGACCTCTTATTAAATTCATGGAGATCCTTTTATAACATAGTATATATCAAAGTGTTGTCTCTTTAACCGTGGAACAACTGGTGCCAAATATTGCTCAACATTAACATGTACATTTGTATATACAACTTGGCTTTCAAGCTATTGAAACATCCAAACACTACAAGTCTCTCAATTGTGTCTATAAGATGAAGAACCACAATTATTGACCCTATAAAAACAACAACCAGACGAATGACTAGACTTGACATCAAATTAGTAACTTCAACAGTTTAATAAGGCTGTTGATAACAAAGGCTGAATAAAATTTTACTTTTATTATATAATATAAGTTTGCCCTTTGGGAGTCAGTATCTCAGCTGGGAAAATTTTGCTCCAGGCCCTGTCGACGACACTTGGTATAGTGGGTAGCCAAGCCCCGTGGACATGGACACTCTGCCAATCAACTGGAACGCAGAGGGTTCCAAAAGGGAATGAAGCGATGCTTCATCTCGTAGAAGGGTGCTACAAAAAGGGGTTGAATTGACGGTGGAGAGATGAAAAGTAGTTAATTACTTTGGGATAAGTAGAGAAATTAACCAGTGGTGAATTTCATAATGGTCCAAAGATCAGATGTGAAACAGCTGAGCGACCCCCAAGGAATTGAATAGGAAAGTTGGTGTAAGGGGATGAACTTATTTTGGAACACCTTGGACAACTTCAATAATTCACTGATGTTCTCAAAAACTGCTTAACTTAGGGTTCCACAATATGTTAGACTTACATGTCTAGTAGTGCAATCAGAGTTTTGTTTGTGCAATGAAGTTTATAAAGGGGTACTTTGAGGGACAAATGGAAAGGAGGGTTTACTAGAGAACCCTATGGGATTTTTATTTTTTTATGCCCCCGCCGTGGCGGTGGAGGCATAAAGTTTTACCCTTGTCCGTCTGTACGTACGTAGGAACGTACGTCCCGAAATTGGTTTCCGTTCTCTAACTTGAGTTTGCCTCAACCAAATGTTATTAAACTTATACACAATGCTTATTACCACAAAACACAGATCAAGTTTGAATTTTGGTGGCGTCACTTTAACCGTTCTAGAGTTATGCCCCTTTATAAATGGAAAAATTGCAAAATTTATAGTTTCTGTTCTCTAACTTAAGTTTGCCTCAACCAAATGTTATGAAACTTATACACAATGCTTATTACCACAAAACACAGATCAAGTTTGAATTTTGGTGGCGTCACTTTAACTGTTCTAGAGTTATGCCCCTTTATAAATGGAAAAATTGCAAAATTTTTATTTTCTTCTAAATATCAAGTAATTAGGGCCCCGCCGAATGGCGTTAGCCCTATAGTGATCAGTCTGTTTGTCCGTCCGCCATCTGTCCATCCATCCGTCTGTCCTTAACAAATTGTGTCCGCTCTATATCTAGAGAACCGTTATGATTTCAAAGTTTATACTTGACATGTATATTAACCAACACCAGAGGGTGTGTCATAATGTATGTTCAACTTCCTAGGTCAAAGGTCAAGGTCAAAAACTTTGGTTTTAGTTGACAACCCCATGTCCTATGGTAAAGATTGTGTTCGCTCTATATCTTGAAAATCGTTATGATTTCAAAGTTTATACTTGATATGTATATAAACCAACACCAGAGGGTGTGTCATAATGTATTTTCAACTTCCTAGGTCAAAGGTCAAGGTCAAAAACTTTGGTTTCAGTTGACAACACCATGTCCTACGGTAAAGATCGTGTCCGCTCTATATCTTGAGAACCGTTATGATTTCAAAGTTTATACTTGATATGTATATAAACCAACACCAGAGGGTGTGTCATAATTTATGTACAACTTCTTAGGTCAAAGGTCAATGTTAAAAACTTTGGTTTCAGTTGACAACCCCATGTGCAATGATAAAGATACAAATTTTTTACCACACATTATTCACAGCGGGGCCCACAGAGATGGCTCCCATCTCAATGGTATCTAGTTTTTACAAAAATTGGAGTTATCTTCCTTTGTCCATGATCATAGTTGAATCAACTACAATCAATGCTTTATACGATGCAATGTTTAATTTTGACTTCCACTGATAAAACACAGATGAAGTTGAATTTGGGTAGTGTCACTTTAACCATTATTGAGTTATGCCCCTTTATAAATCGAAAGATTGCAAAATTTTTAGTTTCCGTTCTCTAACTTAAGTTTGCCTCAACCAAATATTATGAAACTTATACACAATGCTTATTACCACAAAACACAGATCAAGTTTAAATTTTGGTGGTGTCACTTTAACCGTTCTAGAGTTATGCCCCTTTATAAATGGAAAAATTGCAAAATTTTTAGTTTCCGTTCTCTAACTTAAGTTTGCCTCAACCAAATGTTATTAAACTTATACACAATGCTTATTACCACAAAACACAGATCAAGTTTGTATTTTGGTGGTGTCACTTAAACCGTTCTAGAGTTATGCCCCTACATAAATGGAAAAATTGCAAAATTTTTATTTTCTTCTTTATATCAAGTAATTAGTGCCCCGCCGTTGGGACGCCCTATAGTGATCAGTCTGTCCGTCCGTCCGTCCATCTGTCCTTCCGTCCGTCTGTCCGTCCGTCCGTCTGTCCGTCCTTAACAAATTGTGTCCGCTCTATATCTAGAGAACCGTTATGATTTCAAAGTTTATACTTGACATGTATATTAACCAACACCAGAGGGTGTGTCATAATGTATGTTCCACTTCCTAGGTCAAAGGTCAAGGTCAAAAACTTGTTTTAGTTGACAACCCCATGTCCTATGGTAAAGATTGTGTCCGCTCTATATCTTGAAAATCGTTATGATTTCAAAGTTTATACTTGATATGTATATAAACCAACACCAGAGGGTGTGTCATAATGTATTTTCAACTTCCTAGGTCAAAGGTCAAGGTCAAAAACTTTGGTTTTAGTTGACAACCCCATGTCCTATGGTAAAGATCATGTCCGCTCTATATCTTGAGAACCATTATGATTTCATAGTATATACTTGATATGTATATAAACCAACACCAGAGGGTGTGTCATAATTTATGTACAGCTTCTTAGGTCAAAGGTCAATGTTAAAAACTTTGGTTTCAGTTGACAACCCCATGTCCAATGATAAAGATACAAATTTTTTACCACACATTATTCACAGCAGGGCCCACAGAGATGGCTCCCATCTCAATGGTATCTAGTTTTTACAAAAATTGGAGTTTTTTTCCTTTGTCCATGATCATAGTTGAATCAACTAAAATCAATGCTTTATACAATGCAATGTTTAATTTTGACTTCCACTGATAAAACACAGATCAAATTGAATTTGGGTAGTGTCACTTTAACCATTATTGAGTTATGCCCCTTTATAAATCGAAAGATTGCAAAATTTTTAGTTTCCATTCTGTAACTTAAGTTTGCCCCAATCAAACATTATGAAACCTATACACAATATTCATTACCACAAAACTAAGATCAAGTACAAATTTTTTGTTTCCGTTTTCTAACTTTAGTTTGCCTCTACCAAATGTTATATAACTTATACACAATGCTTATTACTACATAATACAGAGTAAGTATGAAATTTGGTGGTAACACTTTTACCATTCTTGAGTTATGTCCCTTTATAAACATAAAAATTGCTGAATTTTTCGATTCCGTTCTCTAACTTTGGTTTGTCTCAACCAAATGTTATAAAACTTATACACAACTGTTCTAGAGTTATGCATGTTTACAAATAGAAAAATTGGTGAATTTTTAGTTTCTGTTCTCTACTTAAGTTAGCCTCAACCAAATGTTATGAGACTTACACACAATGCTTGTTACCACAAAACTCAGATCAAGTTCAAATTTGGGTAGCGTCACTTTTACCGTTCATCAGTTATGTCCATTTATAACTACATGATATGCAAGCAGGGGCATCATCTGTGTCCACATTTATTTATTTTCAAATGATTATAACTTGAAAACAGTAAGCGATAGACACATGGGGTCTTCAGTAATGACCATGGGAACATGCTGAAAGGTCAATGGTCAATTATGACCTTGACCTTTGAACTTGAAGTTTTTATGCCCCCATCGTAGCGGAGGGGGCATTAAGTTTTACCCTTGTCCGTCTGTACGTCCGTGCGTCCGTACGTCCTGAAATTGGTTTCTGTTTTTTGAATTTTGGTGGTATCACTTTTACCATTATAGAGTTACGCCGCTTTACAAATGAAAAATTCCGTTCTCTAACTTTAGTTTGCCTCAACCAAATGTTATGAAACTTATACACAATACTTATTACCACAAAACACTGATCAAGTTTGAATTTTGGTGGCGTCACTTTTACCATTCTTGAGTTATGCCATTTATAATCTTATATGCAAGTGGGGGCATCATCTGTGTCCCATGGACACATTCTCCATTTATTTTTCAATTTATTCAATAGGGAGAGTTTTTAGGGGTTTATACTTATGGGGATTTGTTTGGGTGACTTCGTGATAGCATCCTGTTACAATCATTTCTTGTTTCAAATTGTGTGTGATTGTTTGCAATATTTTCCTGCAAAATCCCATTTTCTGTCATTAATTAGATATTGAAAATGCTTGTAACTGATTCTAGAACACTTTATGAGTGTTAAAACAAGCCAAATTCTCAAAATAAAAAATTTAAAAGGTGCGTTTGAAATTAACCTGAAATAGGAATAGAAATAGTATAACACACACAAATACAGTGAGAGTGTGTGGAAAATCTGTACTTGATAAACATATCACTAAAGAATATGAATTTGCAACTAAAACAGTTCCCTCTTTCCTAAAATGTTGTTGAATATATTCATCACATTAATGTTTGAAGGATCTTAAGCTAAAACAAAACATATGCAGCAGTATGAAACACCAAAACAGAACAAATAACTGATTACATTTTGTAGTTTATACATTGTATGCATAAGCTATTTCCCAGCTGACTTCTTCACTTTTTTCGTTGTGTTAAATACAAGCGGATTCCAGCTTTAATAGGTTATGCAAGTTATGAAAAGAAATTTGAAATGAAGCATATAATTTTGATATTTATCAGTTAATGTTGGATTTTTAAATTAAAATTGCATATCAATATGGGTTAGGTAAATTGTTAGTTTTTAAAAAAAAATAAGGGCATTCTTTACAATTTCAATAACAATAACAAACACGGCAGAACTAAAAAAACATCGAAAATCAGGTTTTCTCTTTTTTCTTGCTTATACATGTAGTACTCTATAAGCCACACCCCTGCTTGATTTTTTAATTTTAATTTTTGAGTAAAAAAACTGCGGACAATACAAGACTGAATTTGGTAAATTACAAGTAGGCATACCATACCCTATAGGAAAGTTAAGGATTAGAAGAAATAAATCAGACACAAATCTTTGTAGATACATTATAAATGAACATTGCATGTCATAAAAGACAGGTTAAGATTTGGAAGAATAGGTCATGCAATACCAAACTTTGGAGATCCGTAGAAGGACTTGATCACTCCACAACAATTGAAAATTCAGGATAGTGCAAGCATCACATGACGTATCAGTTGAACTTGATTAATAAATTATTGTTATAAAACTTGAAATTTTACTTTTTCACTACCATGATAATTGGTGGAATATTTAATGAATTCACAGTGATTTTGTTTTTTTACTTTTCAGCAAGCTAGAAAAAAATCTTGGACAGCAGTGATACCAAATTCTCAGCTTATAATTATACCTTACCCTAATGACGACCCATCCAGGTATGCTATTATGTTGTGACCTATAGTCATCTTATTATTTTGGGAAAATTTTGATATCATTAAGACCAAAATGGTATACACTTTGCTAATTCATATAATCACAACCCAGATGCAATTGCAGGATTTTGAAAAAGGGATCCCTAAACAAGACAATGTTAGGAGTTCAACATGCTAAAAGTCTATGCAGTAACCATATATGTGTCTCATACAGGATCCCCGGGCCCCTGAATCCGCTGCTGCAATGAGCATTTGAAATTTATTGTCATTACTTGGTGCTTCAGTTTTTCAGAAGGATCTAAAAAGTTTGTACAAGTTATCATGAACTTTGCCAAGATTTCTGAAAAATAATTATTTAGCTGTGCCTTCAAATTTTTAGACACTGTTTACGAAGGAACCAAAGTAATTTTACTTAAAAATGGCTGAAATAAAACTAGAGATAGGAACTTGGTTTATAATGCATTATTGGCACAATGATCTTAAAAGTGATTGTCCTGTCACCCAATATTTACTTTATTTTATATTCATATATCATACTACTTATTGTCTCGCCTTGACGGAGTCAAAAAGCGAGACAAAGGTATGCTGTTTCCGGCGGCGGTGTCAACAATGTATTAGTTTGTGATTAGGTCTAGTTCATGGTGAACCACTAGTGGTAGGTCAATGATATTTGGTATGCAGTTGTATTAGCATTGGCACATCTCATTACCATGGAGATTATTTGGCCCCGCCCCCTCAGTCAAGGTCTATTGACTATGAAACTTTTCATAGTTAACATGTATTAGTTTGTGATTAGGTCAATTTATGGGGAACCACTAGTGGTAGGTCAATGATAATTGGTATGCAGTTGTATAAGAATGGGCATATCTCGTTTCCATAGAGATTATTTGGCTCCGCCCCCTTAGTCATGGTCTATAGACTTTGAAAATTTTGCTAAGTTTACATGTATTAGTTTGTGATTAGGTCAGTTCAAGGGGAACCATTAGTGGTAGGCCAATGTTAGTTAGTGTTCAGTTGTATAAGCATTAGCACATCTCATTTCCATGGAGAATATTTGGCCCCGCCCCCTCAGTCATGGTCTATTTACTTTGAAACTTTTGCTTAGTTTACATGTATTAGTTTGTGATTAGATCAGTTTAAGATGAACTGCTAATGTTAAGTCATTGATATTTGGTATGCAAATTTATTGGCATTTGCAAGTATCATTTCCATGGAGATTATATAGCCCCACCCCTGATCATGGTTCATGGACTTTGAAACTTTTACATAGTTTACAAGTTAATGTTTGTGTTTAGGTAAAGGGAACGACTTATAATAAGTCAATGGTATTTGGTATGCAGTTGTATTAGCATTGGCACATCTCATTCCATGGAGATTGTTTAGCCATGTACCTTCAGTCATGGTTCATTGATATAGATATTTGCATAACTTACATGTTAAAGTATTGCAATTTAAATTTCAACATTTGCATTATCAAAATTATAAAAAGGCGAGACATATCTCTGTGATAACAGTTTATGGTAAACATATATTTATTTTAAATAACTTTTAAAGTTTTGCTAAATCATAGTTACAAAATAATTTACCAGTAATCAATTGATGCATGAAATATGTTTTAATTATACAGTGGAATGGGTCATCAGATAACAGTATTAATTATATTATTTTTCAGTTGGGTAAACAAATTATTTATAACTCCAAGTAGACTGGTACTTTTGACTGGTGCTGCTTTGTTAGGTACTTGTGGCTTCCTTGCTGGTATTGTAGGGATACTTCATTGGAGAGAAAAGGTAAGGGACATAACTTGTTTTATTCAAAAATTCTGTTACTATAAAATAACTACCGTAGAAAGGCTTGTATAGTCCGCGGTTTTATTCTCCAAAATTGGACCTTCCAGACGGGGTGCGGACTATAGAGTACAATAAGCAAGAAATAAGAGAAAAATTTCAATTTCGCGGTCGAGGTGGTTTGTTTACGTTCCGCCATCTTTGTTATTTCTATTGTAGAGGGCGCTCTTATCATTTTTCAAACTAATAATTTTAACTCATCCATATTAAGTTATTTCTATTCAATATCAAATTAATACTGATAAATATAAAAACTAAACCTTTCATTACAAATTTCTCGTTTCTTTTCAATGCATTGGTTGAAATAAACTGGTATCTGCTTGATTGAAACGATACAAACATAGTGAAAAAGACAACCGTAAACCAGCTTAGAATTTGTAAACTACAAAACGTAATCGGTTATTGTTCGTTCCGTTTGGTGTTTCATACTAACTAATATGGTTTGTATTAGCTTAAGACCCTTCAAACATTAATGTGATAGATATATTAAAGACTGTTTTACAAAAGGATGGAACTGTTTTACTGTCAAAGTCGTATTATAGTGATTTCTGTTATGTACGGATTTCGACTCTCACCGGTTAATTTCTTCTTTTACACGTGCTTTTTAAACTTCCTGTTTAAACATACACAAGTTTCTAAATTGATTTTTTTAAGTGAATTAAACTTATTTTAACAATCATGATGCGTTCTAGAATCATTTACAAACAGTTTCAGCTTCTGTTTGATGATGGAAAACAGGTTTTTCCAAGAAAATACCGCAAACGACCGCACAGGATTTGAAATTACCGGAGTTTCATTAGACCTTTTCTAACAGTTACAAAAAGTTTTTTTACCTAAAATTTCGTGGGGAGAAGGGGGTGCGGACTATGTACCACTGCGAACTATACAAGCCTTTCTACGGTAATCAAATATAATTGGATGCTGATTTTTATATCATTTCTTTGAAAAAAAACAAATAATCAAATAAAAGAATAATGATACCTTCAACATTTGTCAAGGGGTGGTTATTTTTTAAGTACATTTTAATGATCATTGCACTAGTTTGGAGAATATCATTTCACTTTAGTAAAAATTACAAACACTACTCACTAGCTCCTATGATATAATATTCTACTCAAGATAATAGTCATTGGATAATACTATAGTGTATATATTATTGGTTAAGTTACTTGCTTTCAAATATATGAGTACAATGGATAGGAAAGGGTGAAGTCACTAAAACTGAAACTTATCCAACAAAAAGAATCATTTTAAGGTCACTGTATGTCATTCAACAATGAGCTGGTGATTTTGTGTATTTTAAATATCTCCTTCTATTGAATATTACCAATAACAATAAGAGATGATGACAACTGCTGACAAAGGTCAAAAGATAGTTAATCAACAAAATCAATCGTTATTATGTGTTTTTATAATGAGACATTATTACAGAAATTGTTATAAGTGTATTTAAAACATGTTTTATTTAATTTCAGATTGAAGATAAGAAAGAGAAACTCATAGACTCACATAAATTTCACTTTGATGCAATGTGATGATAAGACATTGTAGGACTTTACAAATTTCTGTGCAATTCCATTTTTTGATTGAGAGAATGTCTTGAATGAAGTATGATTTTATGGATGAGTAAATGTAAAAAAGTAATGTTTAATCAGTATTACTGTTGAACTGTCTTTTGAAATCCCTCAACTGGTAAACTTTTAGAGCTATAATAATATTCCATGTTGATCAAAAGTTTAAATACCTTGCTTGCAAACTTTGTCAAACATTGTAATTAAGATTGACACTTAAATTCAATGGGTAGGCGGAGTAAGGGTCTGTTTACTATATACAAAGATTTGATTGGACAATGCATATTATTGTTTCCAGTTAGGCACTTAAAACATAGGATATTCATTGTCCAATCAAATCTTTGTATATTGTAAACTCCGCCTTTTTATTGAATTTAGGTGTCAATCATAAAAACAATGCTTGAGCATACCACCAAACAAATTTAGCAAGCAAGGTATTTAAACTTTGATCAACATGGAATATTATAATAGCTCTAATCATTCCTTGTTTTTGAATATATGTTACTACTCCAGAGTTTAAGATGGGATAGAATTCTGAATAAAAGGATATAAAAACCACAGATGTGTACATGTCTTGCAAAAAGTATTTAATACAATTTAAATCATCTATTGTCATTTTTGACAGATAATATGCCCTTTAAAGAAAAAAAATATACTTGTTTTGAAGTGATGATGACTAATTTAATTTTGATGTCTATCAAACAAGTTGAATTTGTTTGATTTATAAAGGAATTAGTGCATTTTGACCTCTATAAAGGCAGTAAAGAGAAATAACTTACTCACATTACATCAATTAAAAAATATCTATACTTTAAAAGAGAGCTTCCAACACTTGCTTTAAATGAAACATTTGAAATAAAAAACTTTTTGATTAAATAATTGACATGTATGGATATGCTGCATTTTGTGATCAAATTGGAGTGACAGGCTCACAACATAGAGAGTGCTTTGATTAAAATTCATTGCAGATAGTATGATGGTTGTGAAACTTGTGATCATTTGTATTTCTATTTTTCTATTATGTACCTGACAAGTATGTGTCTATTTGTTTTATTTTTGTTTACTTAGTTACATTAATGTTTTTAAATTTGTTATTGTACTGTCTCCTTGTTATATCACATTCTATGAATCACAATAGTTTATAATAAATTATTATTTTACCTGCACACACATGTATTGGTTTAAAAGAAAAAAATATTGGCTTTTCTAACGTCTAAACTTGTGTAGTGATTCATGTATAGTAAATAGCTGAAAAAAGAAAGAATTTTTGAACACCGATAGAAAATCAACTGGTCTGCTATACCTGAATATAATGAATTTTTAACTAGAACTATTGTGCTGTGTTAGATCTGATACTATTTTATATCTTCAGGTGTCCTTTTGTTTTTTGTGTTCTATTATTTGATTTTTGTACAATATTCCATGTTTCTCTTCTACACATTTTTGTTAAGGGGCCAGCTGAAGCCCGCCTCTAAGTGCGGGATTTTCTCGCTATGTTTAAGAACCATTGGTGGCCTTCAGCTGTTTTCTGCTCTTTGGTTGGGTTGTTGTCTCTTTGACACAATCCCCATTTCCATTCTCAATTTTATTCTTACAATTATTTGTATTGAAATACTGTAATTTCACATGTTTTATAAAAATAGTTCATTTTGATTAATATAATAACCTTTCATGTTGTTGGATAACTTAATTGTGACATTTTTATAAGTTCCTTGCATACTTCTTTCTTTGATGGTATCTGTTGGATCTAAATATTGGTAAAAAAAAGATAATTAAGAAGTGAGTTCACGATTTTTAAATTTTAAGAAATATCATACAAGCTTCGTTTATTCTCAAAGAAGAAAGAATTGTTTTAGATATATTTTCAATCAATTTTGTGTAATGGATGTAGAATATTCTATGAAATTACAAGCAAATTGAAAATATATTTTTTGCACAACAAATTTGAATGGTCTGTCATGAATTTTCTTTAAAAATCATTATAAAGAAATTACCTCTGGAGTTACCAACAACATTATACCCCAGAGATAAAATGTTTCTGTAAGAACAAATTTTCCTGAAATGTACCATTATACTTTTCTTTTTTATTATCATTGAAATATTGCAAACTCTTAATTTAACTTAAAGCATATACATTAACTTAAAAAAAAACTGTGTATAAATTGACCCAGTTGAATCAAATTTCCTAGTGAAATACATGATATACATTAACTTAAACAAGAAAATATCTTAAAGAAGTCATAGTATATACCAAAATAGAGGTAGTGCAAATACTAAAGACACTTTCATACAAAATTTGAAAAAATAGTTTTAATTTGACATTTATATATATTGACCTTGTCATATGTGTTAAATTTTTAAGCTGTCTTTAAAAAGGAAAAAAGCTGTAGTGAGTATTATTTAACCAATACTTTCTGTAAAATTTGAAGATGTATTGAATTATTATGAATAATATTCATATGAAACATTATTATGTAAAGTAAAAAATAGATACAAGTTTATATTTTTCCTATTTTGCTATAATAAAAACATGGAAAATATTTATATACATGTATGTATATATACTTATCATATGTTTCTGAACTAATTTATTTTGCATATAACAAAACTTTCATTGTTATTTAATGGTGAAATAAACCTATTTCACAAATGATTTTTTTTCTTATTAAATTATTTATTTTACTAAATGAAATTTTGATGTTTTATATTTATGATATCTGTCTACTAAAAGACTTGGTTACTCTGCTTATGGTATGATGAATGCTGTTTTTGGAGTCAACACTATGGTTTTCAGATAAAATCTTTACCAAACATTGTTCCATAATGCACAATGGGGTTTATAAGACAGTATTGAGTTTGAGGTAACTGTATCAAAGGTCAAGGTAACACAAGCAAAAACTAAAATTGGGCCAAAATTTTGGTTCCCTGACTTTGAACCAAAAGTCCAACCATCACTTAACTTAGGTTGAGAATACTTTGGGATGAAGAAGGTTCCTATTGATTTTAGGATTTGTAGGTCAAGGTCCTGGTCACAGCAGGCACATTAATAGATTGAAAAATTTGACATTTGATATTGTCAATGGGGAAAAAAATATGGGAAGAAAGTGTAGTTAAAGACAGAAAGCAGATCTTTACCAACTTGGTTAGATAATCTCATCAAAGAGGGAGGTAGCAATTGAATTTGATGTTATAAGTTGAAGGGCAAGGTCAGAGCAGTCAATCAACTTGCATTTATGATAACATTTTGGTTTGCATGAAATTTAGAGAATGTTTTTGTTTCTGGATACCACATGTCTATAAACCCCAATCAAGTATACATCATCAGCACACTTGACCTAAACAAAAAACTCTTTCCTCTACTACAAATCCATAAAGATCACAAAAACATAATTGTGTAGTGAGTAATAACATATCATGTGAGTTTTGTTCTTCATGCTTTTGAGCTCAGCACAATAGGACCTCTGTTGTGGATTGGACATTTTAAGATACTCCCATGGCTGGTATTTGATAATTTAATTCATAATAAGTAGTAACACATATCTTATGTGAATTTTTGCGACAATGTTAATAAAGGGAAGAATGCTCTCAGGATGTGCAGGAGGCAACATTTCATTTTCATGACAAATTCTTTGGATCTATTTGGAATACCTTTTCCAAACTTGGCATGATAATGCCAAATGGGAAGAGGAAGACCATGATTTATTTTGAGATTAATAGGTCAAGGTAACATCAGCTATTAATAGACTGAAATTTGGACCAAATTTTGTTGAAAATGTTAAGGTCATAGCAAATATTGATAGATCAAAATTTGGCAAAATGTTTGTTTCGATCCAGATGTAATTTTTTTTAACCATATCAACTTTTTACCAAAATTAGTTTGATAATGCCTCAGTTTGCATTGGTAAGCCCTTTATTGATTTTTTGATCAATAATATTCAATGTCACTGCAGCTCTTCATAGACTGAAACTTTGGCAAATTTTATTACCGGTATTTCAAAATGTTATCTTTAGAACCATATGTCCAAACTTGGTTTCATAATTTCCCCACAGGATAACAAACACTATTTGGTTTTGAGATTACCAGGCAAAAGATTATGGTGACACCAGTATTTCATAGACTAAAATTTTGGCAAAAAATGGGTTCGTAGATGTTAGCTTTGGAACTATTTTTCCATCCGTCACCAATCTTTTATATAATAGCTGGAGAATGCTTTGATAGGAGATCATATTGATATTTAGTTAGATAGATCAAAGTCACAGTAAATTTTTGTTTCCCAATGTATCATTTGAACTGTTTGTTATACAGGTAGGAAGCAGGACAAATCGCCCCACTGGCAAATCGCCCCACACCAAATCGCCCCACTTTTTCACCAACTCGCCCCACTTTTACAAAAATCGCCCCAAACTGGTTTACTAACTCGCCCCACTTTTGAAAAGTGTTAAATCCCATTAATTTTTCTCCTGCCAACTCGCCCCACTTAATGAAAAAGGTAAAATCTAGATGAATATATAATTTTCAGGTCTGCCAACTCGCCCCACTTAAAAACGAAAATTTATTAAATTATTTTTATTGACTATGAGGTGGCATGACTCAATTCATCAGGACTTTTCTATTTTTCATAAGTGGGGCGAGTTGGCAAGACTCAATTCATCAGGATTTCTCTATTTTTCACAAGTGGGGATAGTTGGCATTCACGTCACAGAAATACTGATACTCACTTCTTTCTGCTTTATTTTAACAAAAAGAAAACTCACTTCTTTCTGCTTTATTTTAACAAAAAGAAAAGAACTACAAAATAGATATAAGAAGATGTGGTATGAGTGCCAATGAGACAACTCTCCGTCCAAGTCACAATTTGTAAAAGAAAAACCATTATAGGTCAAAGTACCGTCTTCAACACGGAGCCTTGGCTCACACCAAATAGTAAGCTATAAAGGGACCAAAAATGACTGGTGTAAAACCATTCAAACGGGAAAAGCATGTTTATCTAAGGTTTTCATAGGTATTGATTTTATTTATGAGTGGGACAGGAATATAGATATACAACAGGATTGCATCTTTTGCATCAAGATGGTCGAGTTGGCATTACTAAATTCATCATTTTTTATCTATTTTTCACAAGTGGGGTGAGTTGACAGACCTTATTTCAGAGGGATTTTTACCCTTTTCATAAATGGAGCAAGTTATCCAACCTATTTTCAATCGGATTTTACCCTTTTTCATAAGTGGGGCGAGTTGGTAAACAAAAGTGGGGCGATTTTTCAGAAAGTGGGGCGAGTTGGTGAAAAAGTGGGGCGATTAGGTGTGGGGCGACTTGCCAGTGGGGCAATTTGTCATGGATTCATACAGGTACTATCACCAAACTTGCTTTGATGATAATGCCCAATGTGTTAAATAGGGGTCACTTGGTTGAAAGTCAAGGAACGATAGAATAAAGTTTGGGCAAAATTTTTTTTCCTGAAAAGTCTTTTAAACCATATTTCCAATTCAATGATTTGTTAATGACCCATGAAAAAACAAACACCTCTTTTTATTTTGAGGGCACTAGGTAAATGGTCAAGATAACATCAGTAATTGATACTCAGAAGTTAGGGGGAAAATTTTGAAACTTTGGACTTTGGCAATATTTTGGTTTCCATATTTTTAATCATGTTGTGTTTTGAACCATATTTTTAACTTTTACAAGACTTGGTTTATTTTGGCCCCATGAGATGACAAACACTCTTTTTGATTTTACAGTTACTAGCTAAATGATCAAGGTCACATCAATAATTCATAGACTGAAATTGGGGCAAAATTTCGATTGTCAGATGTTATCTTTTGAACCATTTGTCCAATCTGTAATTTCTGGAGAAAGTCACTTTAATAGAAGATGATTATATTAGTTTTTTTTAGTCACAAGGTCTAAGGTCAGGGTGACAGAGGCTATTCACAGACTGAAGTTTTGACAATTTTTTTCAGATGTTATCTTTTTAACAATATATCGAGATTTCATCAAACTTGGGTTGATAATTCTCAAATTAGATTGGGAAAGACCAATATTGATGTTTGGTCAAAATATTATAGGTCAAGGTCATTGGAAGGATAATGCCCAACATGAGAAATTTTGTTTTCAACTTATTGATATATTAAATAAAACAAATTAACAGATGAAATCAGTGGCGGATCCAGAAATTTTCATAAGTGGGGGACAATGACTGACTAAGAGGGGGCCCGCTCCGGTCATGCTTCAGTGATTCCCTAGATAATCAACCAAATTTTTCCCAGAAAAGGGGGGCCCGGACACCCTGCCCCCCTCCCCCTAAATCCGCCTCTGGAAGTAATGCTAATTGATGAAGACGTTTACAAAATCGAGGATGATCTCATTATTAGTGAAACCGGATTTTGGGATGTAGCACGGAACTGGTGTGCAGTTTACTTCATTTGACCTATTTCCTGTTTTGCTGAACAAATCTTCTCTGACGAAAAAAAATGTTTTCGAGAAGAATAATAAGATTTGCGCCTTCATTCAAGGTATTCTTTACAAGTATTCAATTTATTTCCATACCGTCAAACAGGTAAACATGTCATTATCGCTGTTTTGAGAAAATTACAAAAGTAACTGACGGGTCAGGAATAACCACCAATTGGTGGACTATACCTCAGTTGACGTATAATCCACCAATTGACATATAATGGTATAGACCAATTGACGTATAATTCTTTGTTTTTCAAAGCAAATTATTAAACCAAAATGGAGCATTGTTTTCTTAAAACCATATTATTGTATGAAAACATGTCAAACATTCCTAGTTTAATTAGTATAGTGACATATCATATTGCATTTAATCAGGGACTTTCTATACTAACGGGACTGGTCACTTATAACGATGTCTATACAAATTATCAGACTGATCTCGGCCGTGGCTAATGTCACGTGACTTTATAGCAAATCATTTGTCATTTACGAAGTGTTCTTCATAACTATACATGCTACATGTTCAAGTTTAGCAAAAAATCGTTTTTATGAAATTTTATACATTTTGTCATAGCAAAATGTAGTTTTTCAAAAGATTTCTCAAATCGTTTTTTAAATATTGATCTTTGAACTTTGAGGTATTTGTTCGTTGAATTTTCAGTAGCCGCCATCTTGTTTGATATGTAAACCATTTTACACAACTGGGATGTTCTTTAAAACGATACGTCTAAATTTAATAATTCATCATTCTTTCAAAATCTTATATTTTTTGTCATCGTAAATAGCTATTAATCAGATTTTATTTTAACAACTAATAATAATAATATAATTACAATGAACTGTGAAATACGCAAATAACTACTAGCATCGTATATCAGAGATACGAAACTAAGTTTATTGTTTGGTGGTAGCTTTAAACAGGCGGCGTAGTAATCAGTTAAAATCAATAGAGACGAGTCCCGTTAGTATAGAAAGTCCCTGATTTAATCAATAATTGTATTTGCAGTTTCTTCTATTGTTCATGTTGTTATGTTGTTGAAATGATTTTATATGGTTGTGTATGTGTGTGTGTTATATTACCTGAATATAACAATTTCAGACTTGATTCATTAGGTCTTCTAGCTAGTCACTCCTCTATGTGGGGATGTCTGACCTGGATAACAACTGTTTAATGACGGTAATATAAACCATGGGAAATCCCAGAATTCCGATTATGACGTAATGAGGGTTCCTAATGAGTGTTCTATATTTAGCCATTCATTACAGAATCTACAAAACAATGCTTTTCCACATTTTAAACGTAATATAGCAATCTTATTTACACTGATGTTGGTGACATTTTCATTGACCATTGCAATTGTACAAGAAGGTCAAACATTTGCTGCTAGATAGTGATCAGATGTATGAGACAGTAACAAATCATACAAATGTTTAAACTAGATATATGAAAACTGGTTATCAAAATAACAGCACTAACACTATATATGAAAATGTAATTCACACAGAATCAAGACCAGCTTGGTATAAACTTAACAGACTTACAAAAAAAATCTCTTAATGATTTTCATTTTCGGCATTCTGAAAACAATTTTACCTTGGCTCATGAGTGTTTGTACTGTTAAAAAAGTTGCTTCATTAAATCTACTTGGAGGTACAGCGGATTATATTAGAATGAAAGAAGATGTTTTTTAATCAGCAGATGAAGTATTTTTTATCTGTAATACTGATCAAATTCTGTGAAGTTATTTTGCAAAGTTTAAATAGTTTTTTTTGTGTCTTTTTCTCTTTTCCTTTTTATTCCACTGATACAGATTAAAAGGTACAATTTTGCTCATTGTTGAAGACTGTACAGTGACCTATAGTTGTTTACTTTTACGTCATTTGGTCTCTGGTTGAGAGTTGTCTCATTGGTAATCATACATGTACCACATCTTCTTATAAAAAATAATTAACCTACCCTGTCTCCAACATGTTTATGTGCCTGTTATCTTGTCATTTGGAAACATCATTAGTTGTTGGTGTAGCTCACCCTTTCCTACAGACTCCAATCTCCAATTTTGATCCATGTCCATTACTTTAGATGAGAAATAACCATACTTGAAGTTATTTTACATAAAGTGGTGTAAAAGAAAGTAGTTCTACAGTAATGAGAACTTTTGCCATATAAGTATATTTTTAGCATTTAATTAAGAATTAAAAAATATCAAATAAGTAAAATGATATTTATTGTAGACAACATCACAAGTAAAAGTATCAATAAGAATTGTCTCTCTTTGCTAAAAAATAGATAAAAGATCCTTATTAAAGTACATGTAAGATTGGTTGTTTCATCTAAAGAGTTGATGCATTTAAATTTATAGAAAAAGATTGCAATTAAATAAACATGAATTTTCTACTTGGATAAATTGGTCATGTGTGTATGGTGCACAGTTCCTGAAATTTACCTAGATGACAGATTATAATAATCAATGACAAGCCACTATTATGCAATAAATGTGTCTAGATTCAGTATCATTTCAGCCATGGTTTAATGTAGTAACATCTTTATTACATCGAATATAGGAATCCTGTACATGTGTAATTTTTCAAAAATCATGAGGTGACATTGTGAAATTTTACTAAAAATCAAGGGCAACATAAACTTCTCCTTGATACTTTCTTAGTGCAAAGTCAGGAATCCTATGACATACATGTATTTATGCTGACTTCACCTGGTGTGGTGACCTTTGACCCTAATCATTTAAGTTTACTGTAAAAAATTTAAAATGCATTTGTAACTTTATTCAGTTATGACAACTTTTTTTTATTTTCAGTTAAATGGTTTCATAAAGAAAAATATTCATCAAAGCAGTTTAAGACATAATTCCAAGGTATATGAACTGAGAGTATACCAGATAAAACCAGAAAGTGTAAAGCCCTTTATGGAGTTGTCTAAAGAGTGGCTTCATCTAAGAACACAGCATTCAGTCTTGATTGGCTATTGGACTAGTGAAATAGGGGGTATAAATGATATGGTACACATCTGGGAATATGGTAGGTAGGATCAGCATCTAGCAAAGAATTCAACTCAAATCCATGCTAATGTTAGTTTTTTCTCCATGTTTAAGGCTCCACTGATCCTTTGAGATGAAGAACAGCATTTAAAGCATTGTTTCTTTGCCATGATTTTTTCATGTGCACATACTGATTTTTCATCATGAATTGATACATTATATCCTCTCTTTCCATGAATATAAAAGTCTAAAGAATAGAAACAAAGTTCTGTATAGTATTTATTTTAAAATAAGTAGTTAATGATGCTTCACAGCAATGGAAAAGTTGTTAAATTAATATATTTCTGTTTGAAATGTTAAATAATGTACACAAGAAAAGCAGACTGATTCATGAAAGATGTCAAGCAGGCACAATGACCTTATCATTTCAAGGATGCAGGGATAAATGTTCTTTAAACATTTAAATGACGTTAGAAATCGTCATCTAGAAAAAAAGTTTTTTCTGGTAATGGCAATGATATAAATCAAACATATTGCCATCACTTGCAACCCTCTGTAAACCACAAATAAATTCTGCTCCACAATAAAAAAAATTGTACTTAATAATGTCATAAATTACTGTTAGGGTGTATAGATTCAAACTTGTGTCTGACCTTGCTGTCTACCTACCAACATGGACACCATATCTAATAAATAGAACATAAGCACTAATAAATAATATTGAAGATACAATTCCTATTTGGACCAAAGGTTTGTGAATTAGTGAATAACTCCTTAGAAAATTTATAAGCAGGAAATGCACAGTAGATCTAAAATAATACGTTGAAATTTTGTGAAATTAAAACGTTACATTTTAAGATTAATGAATAATGGTCAAAAGTCGTGTCTGCTATACTTTTACCTCCTATACAATTTCAGATAGTTTGGATCACAGAGCAAAAGTAAGACAAGCTTTAGCTAATGATGCCTCCTGGATAGCTAATTACTTTGGTAAAATATTACCAATGATGTCACGACAGGAGAATTCTTTATTGGTTCCTAACGGAGAACTCAATCTTAATCAGAAAGATCTCAAAGGTATGTCAAATACTAGTACCTAATGGAGAACTCAACCTTAATCAGCCTGATTTTACAAGTACTTTATAGCAGAAGAATACAGTAATGGTACATATCATGTCTAATTTAGAACTCAGTCTTAATCAGCCTTATCTCAATGGTACAATGTATGTCACAAATTGGTACCTAACAGAAATTTAGATCTTATTATTACTATAACAGATAGTAAAATAATTTATAACCAGCCTTACCTTAAATGTATAGCAAGGCATTAGAACTATATACTATTAGCGAAAGGAAAAAGTCATAATCAGCCTGATCCTTAAGGCATTAGAGGAGTTTAAGTTTTAGTTAATTTGCTAATTTTTGTCGAGCCTGCGACTTTTGTCGCAGAAAGCTCGACATAGGGATAGCGATCCGGCGGCGGCTACGGCGGCGGCGGCGGCGGCGTTAGCTAACTTCTTAAAAGCTTTATATTTTAGAAGGTGGAAGGTCTGGATGCTTCATACTTTGTATATGGATGCCTCATGTTACGAAGTTTCCTTCAGTCACATGTCCAATGTCCTTGACCTCATTTTCATGGTTCAGTGACTACTTGAAAAAAAAGTTCAGATTTTTTGTAATGTTAGATTCTCTCTTATTATAAGTAATAAGATAACTATATTTGGTATGTGCGTACCTTGCAAGGTCCTCATGCCCGTCAGACAGTTTTCACTTGACCTCGACCTCATTTCATGGATCAGTGAACAAGGTTAAGTTTTGGTGGTCAAGTCCATATCTCAGATACTATAAGCAATAGGTCTAGTATATTCGGTGTATGGAAGGACTGTAAGGTGTACATGTCCAACTGGGAGGTGTCATCTGACCTTGACCTCATTTTCATGGTTCAGTGGTTATAGTTAAGTTTTTGTGTTTTGGTCTGTTTTTCTTATACTGTATGCCATAGGTCTACTATATTTGGTGTATGGAATGATTGTAAGGTGTACATGTCTAGCGGGCAGGTGTCATCTGACCTTGACCTTATTTTCATGGTTCAGTGGTCAAAGTTCAGTTTTTGAGTTTTGGTCTTTTTTTCTAATACTATGTGCAATAGTTCAACTATATTTGGTATGTGCATACCTTGCAAGGTCCTCATGCCCGTCAGACAGTTTTCACTTGACCTCGACCTCATTTCATGGATCAATGAACAAGGTTAAGTTTTGGTGGTCAAGTCCATATCTCAGATACTATAAGCAATAGGTCTAGTATATTTGGTGTATGGAAGGACTGTAAGGTGTACATGTCCAACTGGCAGGTGTCATCTGACCTTGACCTCATTTTCATGGTTCAGTGGTTATAGTTAAGTTTTTGTGTTTTGGTCTGTTTTTCTTATACTATATGCAATAGTTCAACTATATTTGGTGTATGGAAATATTTTATGATCTATTTGGCAGTCACGCAGGTTTTATTTGACCTTGACCTCATTTTCAAGGTTCATTGCTCAGTGTTAAGTTTTTGTGTTTTGGTCTGTTTTTCTTAAACTATAAGCAATAGGTCAACTCTATTTGTTGTATGGAAGAATTGTTAGCTGTACATGCCTGCCTAGCATGGTTCATCTGACCTTGACCTCATTTTCATGGTTCATTGGTCAATGTTTAGTTTACTTGGTTAATGTTAAGTTTATGTGACAGTTGTAATAAAGCTTTATATTTAGGACTATCAACATAATATCAATGATTAGTAAAGAAGGCGAGACATTTCAGCGTGTGCACTCTTGTTAATTAAAACAGTTATGCACAATATTTTAACTTTCAGAAATTACTATGCATGGTCATAGTTAAACAAGGTGTCAGTTAGTGGCATTTTGGTGTTCTATATGTTCATACTCATTTTATGTTGGTATTGAATACTTGGAATTAAAATTTGAGAAATGTATTCAACTTGATATAACCTAAATCATGACCTTTGTATCAAGAATTAAAGTTACTGTTTAGGTAATGTATTATTTCAGCCATTTATTTTTAAACATTGCAGATGATTGTGGTTGTTTTTTCCCTGGCAGAATTTTGCATTTGAAATTGAACACATTAGACTGTATACTATTATGAAATAAATTTGAATATTGAATGCTTTCATTGTTTTTTTTAATCAAAATGATAAGAGTTATCAAACTGAATATCTTCACTTATTGTTTTCAAAAAGTAAATCATCAGACACTGTTTCCATTCTCCAACTTTAGTTTGCCTCAACCAAATGTTATGAAACTTATACACAATACTTATTACCACAAAATACAGATCAATGCCGAATTTGGGTGACGTCACTTTTACTGTTCTTGAGTTATGTCCATTTATAATGTTATATGCAAGCGGGGGCATCATCTGTGTCCCATGGACACATTGTCCATTTATTTATGAATGAATTACACCGGTTGACCCAAGGTCAATGGTCAAAAACCGTACAATTAGTTCTTTCTATGACGTAATAACATAAGCATTGTGACGCAAGTAATTAAGGGGAAAGTGCACAAATTCGAAAGTCATCTATTGTAAAACCAGATATACAATATATAGTGGCAAGTATGTGACTTCTCACGATATAGGAGAATTAACAAGATACTGCAAGATTCCAATCCTTCTTACATGTATACAAATCCTTGTTTCAGTTTAACAATTTGAAATTTTCTTTCAGGTGTTTATGAACTGGAAGTTTTCAATGGGAAAACAGTTGACCGACCTAATGACAGATTACTGGGATCATTTTCAGGACTGATTGGACCAATCAACACTGGTAGGCTATTTTGTCTTATTTTAAATTACCAAATTAGAGTTGGATCCCATGGAAAATTGGGTAAAATTAAATTTGTTTGGTCTTTTCCTTTTTAATTTGATCATTTGTTGTCTCCCCTGAAAATTCTGTGTGATCATTCATAAATTGCTTCTTTTTCTGATTGTACTTCAACATATCTTGAATTTCATTTGGAAAGTATATTGATTATCCATAACAATGTCTCAATTTGATTTTTAAAGAAAGGTGGTAGAACATTTCTATAAAAGTACTGGTAATGTTTATAGAAACAGACTCACAGATTTGAAGGGAACTCTAAAACTTTTGCTCTTGTCCAATTTCTGTAATGTTCATGCAATAATCATTTTAAGATAGAAACATGTCCCTTCCCTGTGTCATTACAAATGTACCGGTAAGTAGAAATCCAAAGAATAAAAAAGTTATGCATAGTTGAAATTATATGTTAAAACTGTTATGCTGGTGAATGTATTCAAGCACTTTAATTCATTGAAATCATAAATGACACTACACACTCTTTTTTTAGGCTGTAACCTGTGGTTCCACAACTCAGCTGATGATATGGTTAACAGTTTAACAGAAGTGAATACTAAACAAGGTAAAATTTTTTTCATTTTCATACATTACCGTAACCTATAACTTGAATTCTATTCATTTCATTATAAACATAGACTATTCTAAATAAAGTTATACAGTTAAGTAATAAACAACATAGTATACTCTTATTTACTGGCTATGAGGACAATAAACTTGCTGTTATTCGAAAAGCCAGTAAATAAGTTTTTTATTATACAGAAAGTACGAGGAAAATGTTTGCTTCCAGTAAATATAAAAAAGAAGATGTGGTATGATTGCCAATGAGACAACTCTCCGCAAGAGACCAAATGACACAGAAATTAACAGCTATAGGTCACCGTACGGCCTTCAACTATGAGCAAAGCCCATAATAGTCTTTTTACTGGAAACTTTTCTTCCAGTAAATACTTTTTGAAACTATTAAGCGGATAATAGTCTGTTAACGGGAAACTATTTTGCTTCCAGTTAATAGTATTTGAAACTATTATTTGTCTTTAATTTTTATTAAGAAAATACACTTTGAGGTATAATGATTTATCATATCATATTGCTATCTTTTTGGATCATTCTACCTTCTTACATATATAATCTGAATGCCCACAAGGCCTCTTAATTGGAAAATAAATATGTTGTATGTTTAATATATATTTTCAGAAATATACAACATGAAATGTTCATATGTTTGTTTGTTGGTGTTTAAGGCTTTCAGTGACCTTGGCTATATTAAGGTTTTTATTGGTGGATGAATCAGGAATACCCAGAGTCTAGTTCTAGTCATGGTCATTAAAAAAGGGGACATTGGTGGTCAGAAATGAAACATGTAATTTATCTTTGTTTTCAGGATCTACTGCTACAGGCCATTCACGCCTGTTAATGCCAACTCCATGGTCGCCACTGAAGTGAATCCATCATATGCTTCCATCCACTCCATGGTCACCATTGTGTACAATGACTTGATGAAAGAAAGCGGCTAAGGATATCCAGTATTATGTATAATTGTGTTTGTCTGCGTAGCCACATTGTATTATACTTAATGATGTAAGTTGTTCTGTTCAAGGCAATGTATATTTTCAATCTACTTTATTTTTAAATGTCAAATTATGCCAGGTGTTACATTTTTTATAATGGAGTTTTATTCTAGTCATGGTTGTTATTAAATTTACATTTTTGTGAGGATTTTTGGGGATTTAAAAGGTTATCAGTGGCGGATCCAGAATTTTTCATAAGTGGGGGCCCACTGACTGCCTAAGAGGGGCCCGCTCCAGTCATGCTTCAGTGATTCCCTATATAATCAACCAAATTTTTCTCAAAAAAGAGGGGGCCTGGGCCCCCTGAAAAACCCTCTAAATCCGCCTCTGGTTATACTGTTCATGTTTATTTCTATTAATGATAGCAAAAATGTTAATAGTCATTTGTTGTAATAATTTGTAAATTATGTTAAAAAGTATATTTTAAATGTAAAATTATAAATTGTTATACTTCCACATTTATATTCTGTTTATAGTAGTATTGTTTATTGGGAGTATTAAGGTTAATTTTTATATTAGGAAACAGATATTTGTAGGGTATGGAATGGTTATGGTTTTATAGTCACTGTCTGGTAATTTGGCAGAGTTTTTTTATGCCCCCGCCATAGTGGAGAGGGCATTAAGTTTTACCCTTGTCCGTCTGTACGTCCTTCTGTCCCAAAGTTGGTTTCCGTTCTCTAACTTAGGTTGCTTCAACCAAATGTTATGAAACTTATACACAATGCTTATTATCACAACACACAGATCAAGTTTGAATTTTGGTGGCTTCACTTAAACCGTTCTAGAGTTATGCCCCTTTACAAATGGAAAAATTACTGAATTTTTTCGTTTCTGTCCTCTAAATTAAGTTTGCCTCAGCCAAATGTTATGAAACTTATACACAATGCTTATTACCACAAAATACAGATCAAGGCCGAATTTTGGTAGGGTCACTTTTACCGTTCTTCAGTTATGTCCCTTTACAACTTTATATGATATGCAAGCGGGGGCATCATCTGTGTCCCATGGACACATTCCCCATTTATTGTAAAATATTATGAAACTTTCAGTCATGTTAGAAAGAATCATCTTTCTGCCAGGTTCCTCTTGAGGCCCTAGGCAGTTCTCAATTTAGGGGTGCTTGCCAGGAGCATACATGGAATATGATAATCCCCCTTTCCAATAAGAAAGTATTTTTGTTGTTACATTTCTATTTTTAATATATTCCTCAGGATATTCATATTGAAATAATATTTTTTATCATAAGGTTGATCACAATCTTTACTTGTTTATACATATTTGAAAGAACTTGTCTTCTATAATAAGCATTGATTTTTTTTTATATTTACAAATTTCCATAGGTGCTCAGTTTGCAATATATATTTTAAGTGTTATATATGATATTGAATTTTATATGGTATAATTAGGAAAGGTTTTGCAAAATTTTTGTTTGCTTTATTAATCAGTTAATTAATATAAAAAGGTTAATAATAATTATTTATTAAAATATAGTGGAAAAATCATGTATTTATATTCACAGAATAATGTAGGTAACATTAAACAAATATTTTTACTATCTGAATATTCTGCAACTCGCAAGGGATGCAAAATATTGAAAATCTCTATTTTTTTTTTTATTGATTTTTGGATTACAATTTATGCCATTTTACACTAGGACTCAATTTTGCAGCTTATTTTTGACAAAATACAGAAATATGGTCCATACCTAAACACGACAAATCTCACCATTGAAACTTATTGTTATTGTGAAAAGTTATTTTTTTAATACTTAACTTTGATAAAAGTTATAATCAGGTGTATGTTGAATATCCACTTATTTGTACATGTTTCATATATATCACATTTATTGTTATATACTTACACAAGGTGCTTTGTTATTATATACTATAATAAAAATAATTGGAATACTTGAAATAGCTTTCTATTATTTCAAATCCTGTGTTATTCACTTATACAATGTACCAGTTTATTTGTCAGCTGTAATGAAACTTGCTTTCACTTTAAAGAAATCCCTTGTTTTGAACACCAGTAAATATGTGTGCAGAAGAACAGCATTACTTGGCAATGGTTTACCTTTGGTTTACATTTGAATGACGATTTGTTTACCAATTTTATTAACATTTTGCTTATTATTTTATACTTTAATATGTCTGTACATCCATGTGTTCATTGAACAGATATTTTCATTACACTTAGAAACCTGAACAGAATAACTTCATAACTGGTCAGATAAGTTGTAACATGTGAACACCTTTCGGACATGTCACAATGCTTACTTTCTGTTTGCTAATACTTTTGAATATTTCATCACACAATACTACTAAACAGGATAACTTCATATTTGGTCAGCAGCTTAACAGTGATGAGTTGTACCATGTATGCAATTTTTGGATCTATCAGACACCTGTTTTCAAAGACTGTGAATTTTGAGTTGGGATATGCTAGGCATGACATCACATGCATTCTTTTTTAAAACTGTTGTTGATATTCTGAAACTGTAAATAACAAAGTCCTCACGCTGAAATGACTCGTCTCCTATAATGATCATAATGAAAAAGATTTTACTTGATTTTATATACATAATATAGTTTGACCTATTGCTTTTAGTAGCAAGAGAGGACACTCTGAAATGTCTACCCTGCTTTACTGAACATGATTGTAAGTATGTGGAAAAGTCTAAGGTAAAGGTATTAATACAAGTATGACATAAAATGAACATTACCAGTAGATTATGTAATGAGGTCAAGGTCAGATGAACCCAAAAAGACAGACATGTACACCTTACCATCATTCCATACACCAAATGTAAACGTATTGTTTATTGAAACCAAACCATGAAAACATTATGTTGACCAATGAACCATGAAAATGAGGTGAGATCTGATTAACTTTTCCAGACAAGTACGTACAATCTTTGCATACACCAATTCTAGTTGACAAATTGCTTCTAGTATCTGAAAAGTGGACCAAACCAAATATTGGCCTATAAACCATGAAAATAAAGTCAAGGCCAGATGAAAACTGCCAGCCAGACATGTATACCATCCAATCATTTGACACACCAAATATAATTTACATGTTCCTTATAGGATAGAAGAAACTGATATGACCTTGAAACTTTAAGCTTGATCACAGATCCATGAATTGAGGTGAAGGTCACCTACATCCTAATAATCTTACTGTTGAAAAGCTAAGCTGACAATGAAGTCGTTTCAGGATTCCAAACATAAAACAAATAAAAAACAGTTTTATAATAGTTGTACAAGAAATATCATTTGTCAAGGCTGTCAAGGGTTCTAGTTAACAGCTGTGATACTTTAGCTAGTTTTCTAAATCATGTGCCTTTTTTCCATTGTTCAAATTAAGTAGTCATCCTGCAGGTAGGAGGTTTTTTGTTTTACTGTGTTTTACTTTTAGAACAAATTGTCTATGTAGACAAAGGTGTAAGTTGAAATATAACTGGTTTTAACCCTAGGTTCTGTGCCTGTACCAAGACAGGCTATCTGGACCATTGTTGTTTGTTGTTATTTATAAAAAAAGAAGATGTGGTATAATTGCCAATGAGACAACTCTCCACAAGAGACCAAAGGTCTGTTTTAGATATATTGGATGTTCAATGATGAGGTCTATGGTAATTCCCGTTATTCTTTTCGTATATTCATGAGTCTATGTAAGGAAAGATTATAAAATGAGACCTGATAAAAGAAACAACAAAGTTTTATTAAGAAATAATAACATCGAAGACCAAACTAAAATTTTACACTAAAACAATTAAAAAAAAAGTAAGTTAACTGACTAGAAATGAGATTTTGGTAGTTACAAAATGTTCTGCCTCACAAAATTGTTAATAATAATTTAAAATTTTTTAATTAAAATTTTAAATATAAAAAATATTTATTATTATCAAACTAAAAATATCTTTATAGTATTCTGTCTTTTTTTTCACACTTGTTTTCTTTTCATAGAACTGTGGATTTATTATCTTTGTTGGGTACTAATTTTAGGGGATTTCAAAGAAACACAAATTTACTATAGGCTTGTATGAAGAATTTGCCAAAATCACGAAATTAAGTATCCCAAAAGATAACACTAGTGAAATATCTGTTCTCGGCAAATGATTGGTCGAAATTTAATTATGACGTTAAATTTTCTTGGTTTCTTCTGAATTCCCGATTGTGACGTCATGAAAAAAGGCGACCATGCCAAATGATGTCACATATAAAGAACACAACTTTCTGCAAATCTTTGAAAAGGAAGGATAAAAATCATTAGAGAAACAGATTCCACCACTATAACTCATGTATTACGATATTTCTCCACTCTCAACAGTTAAATTTTAATATTAAAGGAGCTAGGCAAGCCTCGCGCTTTAAATATTCAAAATTTAACTGTCTCGAGTGGAGAAATATTGTAACACACTTGTTGCAATGGTGGAATCTATATTTCCCCAATCCATAAAAAAATTAAATCCACAGTCCTTTACTACTGTCATAATTTAAAGACAGCACATAAATATCACCTCAAAAAACTAAATGTTACAAATGTATAAGCAATACAGACAATATCAAATAAATGAAAATGTGTACATGGTTCATTTCGAAGTAATTTTATGAGAAGATATACATTATCTAAAATAATTAAACAGATATAAGAAGATGTGGTATGAGTGCCAATGGGACAATGAGAAAACAGTTTACATCTAACCTCAAGCCATATGCCAAAGATCTCACCAAATTATAAGTAACAAAAGAAAGATCGTTTCATTCTCTACTGCAAAAAATAACTTCCTGTTGGTTTTGTACATTAGATATAAACATTATTTTCTTATTTGCTATCAAAATGCTAGGTATAAAAATATGTACACAAAATATATATTTTTTTTAATTTTTTACCATAAAGTTATTTATAAAATCTTTCATTAGCATTATTTTTTCAAAAGTATACAAATTTCTTAATAATGACAATATAACTATTGATGATTATTATTCATAATAGAAATCTTTAAATGTTTTATTATGTTTCTAATTTATGTTACATGGAAAAAACAGAGTTACATCCCTTGAATAATTCCAAATGTATTGGGTACAATATTTCTGTATCTTGTATGTACATTAGAAAGTAACCGTTTTGACCTAATCATGAGGCATAGCACAAAAATGTTATAAAACAAGCTTTTTTTACAAAAAAAAACAAATTATACTTAACAATATAACAAGTATGTAAATTAATTAAAAGTCAATATTTGACTTGGATAAATAAAAATAAAAATGTATATAAAAATACAGATAGCACATCCTGTGTAAAATTCATTTAACAAAAAACAGACAAGTACATTTGTAAAATTCCTTTATCAAATACTAAAACAAAAATATTTACAGAAACATACTATTGACACAAATTTTTATGTCTTGCCTGTATGTAATTTTGATAGTGTAATGCCACTGTTGAAATTTATAAGACAATACTATGTGAAACATCATATGGAAAATAAGAATGCTAATACAACCCCAAACCAAATAACATTGAGTTATCATGAGTGATCCCCTTAAATTGACCTTTACAAAAATTTAACATGTAAGGTTTGTAAACTATGCTAAAGATTCAAAGTCAGTAGACAATGACTGAGGGTGCAAGGCCAAATAATCTTTATGGAAATGAGATTAAACGCTTATACTGCTGTATACCAAATATCAACAACTTACAATGGTTCCTCTTAAACTTACCTAAACACCAAATTATCTCCATTGAAAATAGATGTGCCAATACTAATACATTGTACAACTGCATACAAAATATCATTGACCTACCAGTAGTGGTTCACTTTAAATTGACCTTATCACAAACGAACATTGCTGACGTTGCCTAAAACAGCACACCTAAGTCTTGCCTCTGTGAGTTTGTTGAGGCAAGGCAAAAACTGGATATCCCTTAACTAACTGACACTGACCTTGACACAAATTTTTTAGAGTAAACAATTCATACTTTCAGTGTCAATGGGGCTAAACTAAACAAATATTTTGAAGTGAGGTCTAACCAAGTAACTTTGATTTAGATGGTTTCAAAGTCAAGATTAGGATAAACAATCTTCTTGAAAATTGTATGATTACTAGTGTAACAGCTTACAAAAGATCAATGGCCTACTTTTACATGTAGTAAATAAGTTCCGCTTTTTATTCATATTTCTGAAAAGTTATACCTATGGCTTCCTTTCTATAAAAATTAAAATACAACCAACAATTCACTCTGGAACTTTGAATAGTTAGAAAATACTATAAAAAACTATGAAATAAATCACACCAATCTAAAAATAGCTAACACCAAAAACTAAAGAAATAACAATATCACAATAACAAGGATATTTATCAACATGAATCCATACAAAATGACTACAGTAATAAATAAACAGGAGAAAGTGATAGATGACAGATAGGGGAGAGTGATAGATGACAGAAAGGGGAGAGTGATAGATGACAGATAGGGGAGACTGATAGATGACAGATACGGGAGAGTGATAGATGACAGATAGGGGAGAGTGATAGAAAACTAGAGGCTCTCAAGAGCCTGTGTTGCTCACCTGTATTTACTGATGCTTTGGAAATCATGTAAAATAAGGTCAAAATCATAATTAATAGTATTAGATATTAGATATTATAATGATATCTAAGATAATAACAAAAAACTGCAAAATTTCTGTAAAATTACTAACTCAGGGGCAGCAACCCAACAATGGGTTGTCGGATTCGTCTAAAAATTTTAGGGCAGATAAATCTAAATCTGATGAACATTTTTGCCACCTGTCAGATTTGCTCTAAATGCTTCAGTTTCAGAGATATAAACCAAAAACTGCATTTTACCCCTATGTTCTATTTTTAACCATGTCGGCCATGATGGTTGGAAGGCGGGGTCATCGGACA